CTACTTTTCTCAACGTTCTTTATTTTGCAAAGACCCCTGATGGTGACTGCTCCAGTGGCTGCAGCGTGCAGGGGAAAGTAAGTTTTACTTACCTGAATCTGTCCCCTGCAGTCTCCTTGGTCTTCCTCCCGGTCCTCATCAGCTTCTGGTGTGAGGCCTCAGGATCCTCCACACACAAAGCTTTTTTCTCTCAGCTGTCAATTGTGACTAAAGAAATGACAAAACATGGCGGATGCTTGTCAAGCGTAGAAAATATACTAAAACAATATCGTCCCTACGTTGCCTTAGCATGTCTTTTTTTGGTATGGCGGGGGTGGGGGTTACAGAGCCACTTTAAAGGTCAGAGCTTATAATATTGACAGGGAGCTAAGATGAGGATGCCCTGTTACATGGTTAAGAGGTGTATATCTCTACATTGACTTTTATTTTTCACATCTCAAAAAAATACATATTTGTTAAATAATATTGATAAGTAAGCGCATAATATTAAAGGAACACTATAGGATCAGGAACACGAACGTGTATTACTGATCCTTTAGTGTTAAAAAGGTATAAAAGTTACCTTGTTTCCAGTGCCTCTCAGGTCTGCCAGCCCTGGCTCCGCCCTCGATCCGCCTCCATGGTTGACATAATCAAAGCTGACTATCTCAGCCAAGGAGGTGGGGTGAGGTGCGGAGCCAAACACCGCCCTGACCAATCAGAATCTCCTCATAGAAATGCATTGAATCAATGCATCTCTATGGGGAAAGTTCAGCCTCTACTGAACGTCAATACTGTGCAGCATTGACCCACCTATAGTGGCCGTCTGAGTGACTGTTACTGGAGGTGTTCCTAGGCTGTAAAGTAAACACTGACTTTTCTAAGAAAAAGGCAGTGTTTACATTAAGATGCCTGCAGGTACTGACCTAGGCGTGCGAACGGGGTGTGCCTGGGCACACCCTAATCCCCGCGGCACGCCTATGGATTAAGACCGGCAGGGGAGATCTCTATCCGAGCGCCGGCTCTGCTCTAAGCCTCCATGGGCCGGTGGGGAGATCAAAGATCTACCTCACTGACCACATGCAGGGAGGGAGGCAGGAGAAGACCCAGGGAGCTCTAGCCAGCAGCTCCGCCGGGTTCCTCTCGCGAGAGTGAACTCTAGCCCCGCAGGCTAGAGTTCATTCTCCACTGGACCACCAGGGATGGTAGCAGCACTGCCCCCCCTCTCTACATAAGGTAAGAAGGGAGGGGGGATATTTACTAAACGGCCCCCACACAATCACCCAAACATACAGCACACACATACAGCACCCACACACATACAGCACCCTCACACACACAGTACACTAACAGCACCCTCACACACAGCACACTAACAGCACCCTCACACACACAGCACACTAACAGCACCCTCACACACACCACTCTCACACAGCACACACACACACACACACACAGCAGTGTGTGTGTGTATATGTGTGTGTATATATATATAAATATATATATATATACACACATACATATACATGCAGTGTGTGTTTGTGCTTTAGGGTACACACCCTAATGCAATAGGCTGCGCACATCTATGGGTACTGACTATAGTCACAATACAATAAGTACAATAAGCTGTCGTTGTTCTGGTGACTATAGTGCCTCTTTGAAAATTCTGGAAAGTGACAATTCCCTTTGACTGCCAAGTTACATGCCTGTAACCAACCATCCAAAACCCCTAAACCCCCACCAAAAAAACACTGGACACTGGTTTGAGGGGATAAGAGCTTGGCCACAGCCTTATTTACAAAACATTGTTAATCAAACCTGTTTAATCAAAACTGCTGGTTGTGTTCGGTTTCTGTCACCTATACCATGATCGAAACCCACTCTACCATCACTTGACTTTCAAGCCACTGCTACTTCAGGTACTGACCAGGGCAAATTCTGCCAAATCCAAGCTATAACTGAAATAACAACAAGTAGACCAAAGAAAGAAGTAGGGGGAGACAGGAAAGGAAGCAGAAAAGATGGAAAGGGTCTAGCAGTGCTGACCAGAGTAAAAGAGGAGGAAGGCAGTAAATTACAACCATTTAAAACTTATATAAATTTATCATTTTTTTCTGCCAAATCCATGGTGGTCTTACATGACTATTCTTTAGTACAGGCATGGAAGGCAGTTATGGCCAATTTCACTTAAAGGGACATTATTAGTCATGTGCAATTTGTTTTGGTCCGAATTTAAATTTGGCCGAATTTTGGTAGTGCCAAACCGAACTGATTTGCTGAATTTCGGAAGAAAGTGCTGAACCGAATTGCCAAATTTCGGAAGTGCCGAATGGAAGTGTCGAACCGAACCAAATTGCTGAAGTGCTTTGGATTTCTGAAAAGTGGCAAAACAGGAAAAGGAGGGAAAATTAAGGGAGCGATGACAGGAATCTAACCCTACCCCTAACGCTACACCTAACTGCAACCCTAACCCTAGCAGGGTTAGTAGGTTTAGGGTAAGAGGTAGGGTTAGGGTTAGACCAGAAGACAAAATGACGAGTGCGGAATCCAGATTGATGCGGTTCAAGTAGAGAGTTGGATTTGAGGAAGTCTGTCAATCTCGCATACACAACTCTCTCAAGGATCTTGGAGACAAACGGCAGTTGCGTGATAGGGCGGTAGTTGGATGGGGAATTAGGGTCAAGGTTGGGCTTTTTCAGAATCGGGGTTACGGTTGCATGTTTGAAGGGTAGAGGAATAGTTCCAACTGAACTTAGGAAAATTACTACTCTCAGACCCAGAGTACTCTCAGACCCAGAGTACTGAGTAGGAGAGAGGGTGAAATGTCAAGCCAGTGTTCACCCTTAATGGCTTCTCTCCTCTGTTAACTGTTAGGCTATTGCAGGAGGCTACTAAACTAGCATACATCAACATCCTGAGTCCCCAGTATGTTATAGGACTTAAAGCGGCACTGTCACTGTCTGGGGACTTGCCGAATTCGCAAAGCTCCCCAATGGTGACTTCACCGCTCGAGTACGGTGTCTGGGAGTCAGGTAAAAGTGAAATGTGCTTACCTGAACCTGTCCCTTGCAAGCACGGTCATCTTCCTCCGGTGGGTCTACTTCAGCTGGTGCCACTGCTGAACCCTTATGCATGCGTGAGAGTACAGCATTGAGGTCTATGGGGGATCCCGCGAGACAGTGGGAATTTCCATAAACAAAAAATTCCCTGCATCCTTCACTGGTGACGGCTGTCAGGATTGACTCTGTAGATCCACCCAGAGTCTGAGAAAGTCAGGCGGAGGAGAAATACAGAGAAAAATTAGTCTCTAGTTTAAATCTTTTTGAAATACTTATTTTTAAGGGGAGGAGGTGTGTGACAGTGCTGCTTAAAGACTGTTAGCCCCATAAATCCCTATAGGTGAAGTAAAATGTACCATTCGGTTTCCGACATTCGCATCTGTGCATTCTAAAACCTGCCAAGCTTTTACAGTTGCGGTATACTTATTTTCTACTGTATTTCAGTACTGCTTCATTCATTCCTTATAGAGCTGGATTATGCCAACAATGACGCCATATGTCAGTCCTCCAAATATAGCAAGACCGTAATAGTACTTAGTGTCCATTTGAAAAGGCAACTGCCAGACAACACACCCCAAGTTTTTTTAATATAGTGTTTAATTATCATTATATTTAACAAATATATATCTGTGAGGTGAGAAAATAGAATAAAATTTAGAAAGTCACACCACTCTATCCTACATCTGGGTTGCCTCCATCTTAGCTCCCGTCAATCGTTGCTATAAATATCGTCTTTTTGCACCTGGCAGTCAACATACAGGCAGCATACGGAGAAGAGGGAAACTAAAAAAATATTCTATTTATCTTCTCCATTTGTATTGATTATCCCAGTTCTGCCTTGTCTCGACTGGATATTGATGTAATTTGCTGAATCTCTACTACAAATTTGAAAGAGATCAGAGAATCTAAAAAAAAAAAAAAAAGTTCACACAAATCATGTTCAATGTTTTATTCATTATATTATATATTTATATGTTACATAAACTCCAGAGTCAAATAATCAGTTTAATGAATAAATGCCAATGCGTTTTTGTAGGTGTCTGCATATAGTATCGCTCATTTCTAATTGTGTAAAAAGCATTCAAATATGTGTGTATTTTTTTGTATCATTATGTGTCAGTGTAAGGAAGCATTTAAAGTGTGTGAATGCAAGAATTATATTGTGTGAAGTGTTTGTCAGTGTGTGTGTGAATGCAAGAATGATATTGTGTGGTGTTTGCCAGTGTGTGTGTGTGAATGCAAGAATGATATTGTGTGAAGTGTTTGTCAGTGTGTGTGTGTGTGAGTGAATGCAAGAATGATATTGTGTGAAGTGTTTGTCAGTGTGTGTGTGAATGCAAGAATGATATTGTGTGGTGTTTGTCAGTGTGTGTGTGAATGCAAGAATTATGTTGTGGGGAGTATTTGTCAGTGTGTGTGTGTGAATGCAAGAATTATGTTGTGGGGAGTATTTGCCTGTGTGTGTGATTGTTGAGATGTATTTTAGTTTTGCAGATGTCAATCTGTTATATTTAATGTATTTTCTATTATTCCCATCATCCCGTGTTTCTGTGTTTCCCTATCTCCTCAAATATCTCCCTCATTTTTCTCTACTTGTCTCCTCCATTACGCCCAATTGTGCCTCCCCTCTATCTCTCTATGATTACTTCTCACATGTGTCTCTCCCCGCTTCCTCCCCAAGTTTGTCTCTCATCCCCATCTTCCTATTTGTCTTGCTCACCCATTCCTTCTCTCATTTGTTGCGCATCCACTTCTTCCAGTGATCTGTCCTGGTTATGTTGATTCTTTGAGTATTCCTTTAAGTTTGTTTCCAGGTTTCCTGTGGGTAACCTAAAACCATATTAAATATGTATTGCCAACATATTAGCCAGGCACGTGGATCCTAAAATGAGTTGTATCTCTGCACAGGTGAGTTACCATCCTTCCTCCAAATCTGTGCCTACAGATATATCTCTCTGCACAATGCACTGGCTTCTCATCCTCTCCTTCACCCTGATCAGCTGGAACACACCAAGTACTTACAGCCTTTCAGGTAAGTGTGTCACAAACAGGTGAAATCTATGAAAACGAGGAGCCTGGACAATAACGATTTGCCTAGATTTGGAAATACTGAGCTCGCCTCACAGGGTTCTCTGTGTTGGAAGGCCACAGCAAGTTGAATGGCCACAGAATGGACATTCAACGTGAGCTCTCCTATCACTATCAGGTTAAGCGCATCCAGTGTAGTTACAAAATTAAATTTCACCATGATGTTGTCACTACTAAGTATAGCCCAGCTCTTAAAACATCTGAACGTAGATTACTTAAAGTAATGGTTAGATAGAGGGTACAGCTGAAAGTCTGTACATTTTTACAATAAACCTGTTTTTCAATGGGGGTTGAATAATTGATTACAATTAGCAGGTATTTTTATATAAGGGCAGATAGTTGATTTTGATGATCGATGATTTTGGATGATACACCTTTAATTGGGTATTACATACAGTGCACGTTGTATAATGTGTATTTTGTGTTGGTCAATGCACTGTTGATACAACTGTTCATATATTAGGTTTAGAATCATTCCTAAATTAAGTTTATTCTATCTGACTTTTGATGACAGTGCTTTATGACATATTATACCCTGTGGTTCCGTGTAATAATAAGTGATATTACATTATATTATATTATATAGACCCAAACTTGACTGTATTATCTTGCAGACTCTTCTGGACCCTACCCTGATATAAGTCTGAGGACCCCTGTAATGCTAATTTAATTAAAGCAATGCACATACTGTAATGTATGTAGGTGTTTATATATATATATATATATATATATATATATATATATATGTATATATATATATACAATATGTTATTGTCAATCCCTTATGCATTGTGAAATACATGTTTTTACATCCTGTAAATTTAATAGGCATTTATTGTTCCATATTGATCATGAAGCGCCCACAACATTAAACAGACTGTGCAACCATTGTTCTTACATCTTTTTCGTTCCAGTATTCTACAGCCGTCAAGATGCAAATCGTGTCCTTAGACTTCACAAACGAGAGAATACCTTGTTTGAAGAGTTAAAGTCTGGTTCACTGGAACGTGAATGTATTGAGGAGCATTGTAACCTTGAAGAAGCCAAGGAGATTTTTGGGTCCCGAGAGGCGGCTGTAAGAAAGTCAATGCATACAGATTTCAGTCTACAAATTAAATGTCTAACCATGTGCTGAAACTTCTAATTATCTCCTTTCATTATCTCCTTTCTAGCTTAACTTTTGGACAAAATATCATGGTGGGTATAAACTGTCTGCTAGTTCTTTTCGCAAATAATTTGTTTTTACTCTGCTATAATATTTATTAGACTCATGATGACTAAACGTGGATACTTCAGGACAAATGTGGTACTAAGCATGGGTGAATTACCTTTTATATGGTTCCATTGTACTGCTATGTCAAGGTAAATAGACTGTGCCATGATAGACCCCGTTGGGATCCTAGAGCAGTGATAGCTACACTGCGATACATTGGGTCTCATGGTCTTGTGCCAGGTGGAGGGCCTGGAATAGGTTTTTGCCGCTAGCTGGTACTCACATGAGTACCACTGCAGTCTGTTGTGCATTCCACTTCGCTGCACTTGTCTGTCTAGTGAGAACCGATGCTGCCTAACGCGTTTCGGGATTCAAATGATCACTAAATCAGAGGTATGCATCCAAAAGACACGGCCCGGGTTTTAAACCTCTTGGTCTGACTGAACCATGGGTTCTTAACCCTTTAGTTACCTACATATAACAGGTGTCGGGCTCTTAATCCTTGTAATCCTGTCTAATTGTGTAAAGTCCAATATCTATATATATATATATATATATAAAACGAATAACCACACAGTAAATATACATTATACAGATATCATGATGATAATACAAACTTAGCATCAAAACGGATAACTGCACAAAAAATAGATAGGTATATATTTTGTGATCAGCTGACGCTCTCTGTGAAAGTGCTAGCCCTGCACTGCAAGACTTAGCTTAGGAGATCTAGCAGAAGCCCCTAAGAAGGAAACTCATTGCAGCCTGTCATCAGGAAGAGAAATCTTCAGGTGGAGTCTAGATGGAGAATATCAGTCCAACCTCCTGGCCCAGGAGGTTCTGGTTAGTGGTCTACTCAGGAAGTCCAGATGAAATCAGTGTAGACTTCAAGTTCATTGAGAGATCATCTTACATACCCAAAAGTTAACTTAAACATTGTTTTTATGAAAGCCTGTTTGAATCACTATTTCTTCTGCCCTTTTGGTGTTCGTTTCCTGTGCAGATGTTGAAACGGAGGCGGCTACCCACTTGCAAATAGTACCACTTCTGCTATGGAAAAGGGATTTTATGGTTAATATCATACCATTTCTGTCCAAAAACTAACCTTGGTCATGTCTCTTTCAGATGGCGATCAGTGCTTGCAGGGTTCGTGTGTAAACAGTGTTTGCAAGGATGGTATTGGGAAATATGAGTGCATCTGTGATAAAGGCTGGGAAGGCCGCTGGTGTAGCCATGGTAAGTGGCACAAGCAGTGCAAGTTCAGATATTAATCAAAGAAACAGACACTTAAGTGTTAAAACCCTCCCTCCCCCCACTGCTCGACCTTCTAAACAACTATGCCAAAGTATCGGGCTATAAATTGAACTTAAACAAAACAGAAGCCCTCCCAATCCATACCCCCGATGACATGCTGGACACGCTCCAACTAGAATACCCATTCCGTTACGAATCAAAAAGCATACAATACCTCGGTACGTGCCTACCGGCGGACCTACACCTAACCTACCAACTCAACTATCTCCCACTCCTAATAAAGCAACTCAGGACCTAGAAGCCTGGCAACAACTATCCATTTCATGGCTGGTTTGTCTAGCATCAATAAAAATGAATCTGATCCCGCGTTTCCTCTACCTTTTTCAGGCTCTACCCATCCCCATATCCAAACCAGACTTTAAGTCACTACAGACTAGAATCGACAGATTCATCTGGGCCGGGGAAAAAGCAAGAATTAAGAGAACGACACTGTACGTCCCTCACAAGATGGGGGGGACTAGGCCCCCCTAACTTCTGGGACTAGAACCAGGCAGCCCAGCTGGCCCAAATTCAGAATCTCCACGCCCCAGCAGGGCTTAAACTATGGGCAGACTATGTAGCACTGGCCACACGCAGAACCATAGTGAGACATTGGGGCAGTAACGTTACTCCCTCTGCACCAGAAGTACTACGGAAAATAGAAGATGCCATCGAAATGGACAAACTGTCCGCCCTAATCCATGACAGAACTAAAACCTTCCACAAAATATGGGATCCATGGCTGATAAGACCCGCAATAGCACCATAGACCCCTCGGGGCTTACCCTCCACGGCCCGACAGACCTAACTGCGTACACCCCCTACTCCACCCCACTCCCCCCCTTTTTTTTCTCTCTCTCTCTCTCTCTCTTCTCTCTCCTTCTCTCTTCTCTCTTCTCTCTTCTCTCTCCCTCCCCCTCCCAACCCTCCCCCTCATGCTACCTCCCCTCCCCATGCCCAGACCTCCCCTTCATGACCCACGCAAGGACAATCACCAATTCCCAGACAAGAGACACACCACCACGACCCGTACACCCACCACATCACTCACAAAAACCACACCGACACTCCCAACCCACCAACACAACCATGACACATCCAGTAAACCCACCACATCCACACCCCAACTGACTAACCACCACGGACCTCCACCCACAACCTCTCCCTGATGATGGAAACACATGACCGAAAACAACAGAACGAAAGTACCCTCCACGACAGGAATGGGTACGACGAACTCACTAACTTCTCTTCAGTCTGCATACAAACTGTACGAATTTGTACGCTGCAACTATACAGCCTTACGGAGGCTTTTGCACAATCCAAGTTATTACATACCTTTATGCTTTCTGTCATTACAAAATAAAGATTTTTTTTTAAAAAAGTGTTCAAACCAAGCAAATGTTTCACTACTAATTAATATATTCATTTTCCTTTTTATTGTTTGGGATGGCGCATTAATTTTTCTTTGAGAAAATTCCACTGATATACATTTATAGGTCTTGATCTCAATATAGTCAAAATTTCCCAAAAATTTAATTTAGTTTGGGCCTCTGACACTCGTTCAATTTTTGGTTCAACATTAGTATCAAATTCAAAGAAGGAAATGTGCACAACTTCTAAATAAAACAAACTCAGATGCAACTAGGTATGGGTCGTGTCTGCCCAATGCAATATTTCAACAACAAAAAAAGTCAGTGTGCAAAAAGTTGTTTCAAGTGAGCAGACTTTATTACAGTTAAAGGGACATTTCGGCTATAGAAACAAGCCTTTCTCAAGCATAAAAATAAAGGAAAAAAAGCACACGTATATTTATAGTGTGGTTACTATGGCAACATATAATGAAACGTGGGTGACTATATTTCGTATGACGTCACTGGCGTTTCCGGTTCCGAGCCTGCACCAGTTGTAGTTTTGATCACTTATTCAATATATGTACCATGAAATATTTTACAACTTAAAGTAGAAAAGTGAGCTTACAATATAAATTGCAAGTGTCATTTGTCAAGCTCTCTCTGACAGCCTATATGATAAGATCCAGTTATAAATATTACTGGACCGTAGAGACTAGTCGTAAAATTCCTCTACACTATTTGGTTTACAGAGAAGAAAATAAAATAGACCTTAACTGCTGTACCATTGCAGAATATTTTCCAGAAACCAACAAGATTTAGCCCTTTGCTTCCCAGACACAGTTTGCCTCATATGTTTTAATTGAATGCAGTCAACTGAGGCCTTACCATGCTGTAATCAATCATACCACTTCTATTGGGTAACCATTCCATGCATCCACAATACCAGGGGTCAAGTCCTGGGGAACTCACCCAAGATCCACCCTTCTCCCCCCCCCACAAAAAATAAAAAAAATATACACTCGTATGCATATATAAATGCATGCACACATACACACTCACAGACACACGCACACACATACACTCACAGATTCACACACATACACTCAGACACTCACAGACACACATACTCAGACACACTCAGACACAGAGACAGACACACACATACTCAGACACTCACACAGACACATACTCAGACACTCACACCCACAGACACACACATACTCAAACACACACACATACTCAGACACTCACACACAGAGACACGCACACATACTCAGACACTGACACACACAAACATACACACATACTCAAGACACTCCCACACACACATACAGACACACTCAAATTATTTATATTTGTAAAATTTACAAATGTCCACCCAGCCTCCCTACCTGGAGAGCTGGCGTGGACCTGTCCCTGGGGTCCAATGGGGCTTCAGTGAGGCAGGCGAGCGGCTGTCTACCGGTCAGATGCAGCGAGGGAGCTGTGTTCTCCCATCTCTGCTCCCTCACGCCGCGTGGGCTGTCTACTGATGCCGGGAGACGGAATATGACATCATATTCCGGCTCCCGGCATCAGCAAACGGCGCGCGAGGGAGCAGAGCTGGTAGAACACAGCTCCCTCGCTGCGTCTGACCTGTAGACAGCCGCCCGCCCGCCGTAGGGGGCCATCAGGTGGCCCTCCCATGACAGGGGGAACACGGGGGCACTTGGGGACGGCATTTTTTGCCGCCCCCTGGTTAGTGTCTGCAGGGGGAACATCATTCCTGTTGTGAATAAAGTGCAGGAACGCCATTCCCATGCTTTCCTGCAGGACTCAAGCCCTGCACTAAACACATTAGTTACCCATATTTTTACATTGAAACAATTGAACACACACCACATTAAATGACAATATTTTTTACAATAGACTTGAGTATAGTGAGAAAACTTGGTTTGGCTGAACCATTTGTAGGGATACCCACATTTTTAGCCATATGGAAGTTTGGCTCAACATGCTTTCAGTACCAAAGACTTGATTCAGAAATAAATTTGAAAAATCCAAGGCCAATCTCTGTACTGCAAAAACATATATATAATATAATATACACTGATAACTGATATTCCTGCCATTGGTTCACAGATCAAGTGAAAGGCTGAACTTGATGGACGCATGCCTCTTTTCAGTCTATTATTATTATTTTATTATTTATATAGCGCAGTCACATTCCATAGCGCTGTACAATGGGTGGACTAACAGACATGTAATTTTAACCAGACAATTGGACGTACAGGAACAGAGAGGTGGAGGGCCCAGCTCAATGAGCTTACATTCTAGAGGGAGTGGGGTATAGTGACACAAAGGGTAAAAGTAGGGGTACGAAGTAGGTTGTTAGAAAAGTATTCACTGAGGGCTTAGAAGTAAATTTTTGACAGTTGCAGGAGAGGAGTCATGGGGGTGGGGGATAAAAACATGCTTACAGTTTAACTGATATGCTTTCTTGAAGAAGTGAGTTTTCCATGATTTTTTTGAATGAGTGGAGACTGTGTGAAAGTCTTGCGGAGAAGGGAAGGGAGTTCCACAGAAGAGGTGCAGCCCTGGAGAAATTGGAGGCGAGCATGGGAGTCTGGACAGAGGATAGACGTAGGTCTTTGGCAGAGCGTGTGGGCCTTGACGGAACATACTTGTGTATTAGGGAGGATAGGTAGGTTGGAGCATCATTATGTAGGGACTTATAAGCAAGCACCAGAATTTTAAATTGAGCCTTGTATTTAACTGGAAGCCAGTGCAGGGACTGACAGAGTGGGGAGGTGTGGGAGTTGCGAGCAGACAGAAAAATGAGCCTCGCCGCCGCATTCATTATAGATTGCAACGGTGCAAGCTGGGAACATGAAGACCACTGAGAAGGGTATTGCAGAAGTCAAGGCAAGAGAGAGAACAAGAGCATGGACCAGCACCTTAGCCGCATCCGGCATTAAATAGGGGCGAATTTGTTTTTGAGATGGAAGCGACAGGATTTGGCGATTGATTGGACATGATGGGTGAAGGAGAGGTTGGAGTCAAAAAGAACACCCGGGGGGGCGGGGCCTGACAGCGAAGATGGCCAGACGCACTTTTTAGGAGCTCCTGCAATCACAGGCCCAAAAGCAAATATACCAACTGACAGGACAGCGTAAGCAGCAAACGGTGATCGGGAGCGGACGCATGACAGCACCCAGCGCACAATGATACAAACCCGGCACCGATACGCCGCGGAAAAGCTGCAACAGGCCATGCGGCCTAACCTAGCGCAGAGCGTAAGGCCCACAGAGGACAGTCGACCGCCCTGCACGGTACAAGCTCCTACACAACAGCCCAAAGCAGCCCTGCTACCCCCCCCTTTGGACCGGAGGGGGACATCCCGGTCCTCGCTGGGGACGATTACCCCCACAAGCGCACGTGAACAAGCAGCGAACTTGCTAAGCAAACGAAATCCGCAGGGCCCGGCCAAGATGGCGACGCGGCCCCAAGCCAAGCACATGAGCATCGCACCACCCAAGCACACAAAGGACTTTGTGGACTTGCTACGATTCCACCTCTGGGCGAAGCTTAAAGCCAGGAGACAACCCTACCAGAGGGCGATGAGAGCAGTGGCGGCGTGGATTCGCCCGACCACCCGGCGTACCTTACAATGGACTCCCCCTCACAACTCCAGAGCAGCCTCCAAACGAAACTGGAGCCCAAGCTCAAACAGGCGGGAAACGGCGCAGGGCCTTCTGGACGCCAATTCTCACGACCCCGCTCCGCAGAAGAAGATCCGACATGCTTCTCACTCAGCGACCACAGAAAACAACGAGCAGCAAAGCATAAGCCTGCACACAGCGGCCCACAAAGCCTGGGGTGCCGAAGACCGAAAAAAAACGAAGCTAGATCCCAAGAGACGCAACAGGCAGAAACCCCACTCACGACATACCGGAGTGGAAACCCAGAAGAGACCCTCACCCAACTGCACAAGCAAGACTGCCAAAACGGGCATCGGTTGAAACAACAGAACCTCAAGCACCTCACGGTCTATGGCCGACAACCCTGCCCATAAAGCAGAAACTGATATTCTCAGCAGACGGAGGCAAGGCATCTATATTGGGCTTAGTGTTAGGCATGTAACCTCTCTATACCTGACTTACCCTCAGATAACAAGCTAAAATTTATTGTTCACATCTCGGCACTCACCTTTAACATCAGAACCGGACTAATTATTAGTGCATGCCAACACACTGTTGCCCCTGTGGTTCTGAAGTGACAGGACGCCTTGGAAATTTACCCTTCTCTCTTACCAGCAGCCTACACCAACTACAGGACTAATGTGACGCAAATTACTGTTGTCTATATTTTTACTTTTTCTGAAACCTGCTGCTGAGACCAGTATAGCGAGAGAACAGAATTGTTAATAGTCCTTTGCATTGCTCTTGCAGATACACTAGCTTATACACTGCATTTGTGTAAAACAGGAGATTCTCATTCTGTTAACTTAATATATACAAACTCATGTTATGGTAGCCTAAATGTTTTATCGCATAGTTAGCAAACCGCCTTAACACTGTACCAGTGTACGCGAAGTTCTAATGTTAAGCTTGAACCAACAATATATTGTCTAAGCATGTAAACTTTGTTTTGCATAATAACCCTACGGCACCCATTAGCACACACTCGCATAGGTCTTGCTACACTACAGGCAACACATCACAACCTTACTGCAGCACGTCATACGAAAACATATGTAGTCAACCAAGCGAGAATCTGTCTACTTGCAATGCTGCCCTAGCTATAAACATCTTCCCTTACACACAAAGCAACATACCTTAATGTACCACCAAGCGAGAAAAACTTTACTACGTACACACTTAGACCAGCATGTCTATCACAAACCACAAATGTTTTATAGCTTGTTAATTTCATGTTGAAAAAAGATAAAAACTGTGCTGTTTAATCTGCCACGCTATGTGATGCTATGCAACTGCTTGCAGCAGCTGTCGTGGCTCTGCATGCTCAATGTTAATCCATGCACAAATAAAATAAAGAATTTTAAAAAAAAAGAACACCCAGGCAGCAAGCCTGCGAGGTAGAGGTGATGGTAGCGCCTCTACCCCTACCTCGCCGTCTATGAAACACTGTAAGTGAGAGAAAGTATAAAACAGTGGGAAAACAGTAAAATCAGTAGAAAAATCTATATTTCTGTATTAAAATATTTATCAAAAATATAATACATAAATATAGATTTTTTTTATTTATTTGTTTAAATTCCTTTTCCCCCCCTCGATTGCTCACTTGATTTGCGAATAACATCAACATTACGTGACTCATCCCTGGCCATCAATCATCTTTTTTTTCCATCAGTTTTTTGTTTGTTTGTTTTTTTGTTTTTGTCTCCATAGGCAGAATTCAGCATCAGAAATCAAAACGAACATATTTGCCCATTGATTGACTTGTTTGATTCGGGATTTGGGTACATTTTGACTTAGAGTTCAAGAATTCAACTGATCACCTGATCAGCCCAAATTCTATCAGGTCTCCAAGTCTAATGGGCAGTGTATCATGCCCACTGGGCATGACAATGAGTCTTGCCTGACAGTCTTGAAAGACGTTGAGATCTTGTTCCAAAAACAATGCCCTCTCCACCCACTGGTGAGTTAAATATCATGAAGGTAACAGCTGGCAACACTGGGTGGAAACATTTGTCTGCTACCCATTAATTGCCATAATTGCACCCTTAGTAAGAAGACAAAAGCTCAAGGATTATGTGACAGCGTCTAGTCAAATTATAGTTAGTCAAAATTCCCATCTGTGCAATTTATGAAATCTGTTGGATTTTGTCATCTGTTTTAGTTTTGTTTTTATTTCTTTGTTTGTTTATTTTATTTTTGAATATGCACAGTTTTTTGGCAATACAACTAGTTAATGATTTTTTCTGTCACTTTCTCCAACAAAAAAAGTGTGCAGTTTCTATTCTCTTAAACTAGTAAATTTACTATAAAGAAATCTGACACTCTTTAGATACTTTAATAAATTCGATCAACACAATGATAAAAAAGTAATCCGTCACTTTTGAGAACATTTTGATAAATATTCCCTAGTGCCTAAACTAATTACATTTCCTCTGGGAATTTAGGTAGCAGGTGTAAAGTTTTTTTTGTGTTTTTTACCTAGATGATCTTTCTTCATCACAGCATAATATTTTTTTTCTTTCAGCATGGAAAGCTTGGCAAGGAAACTACTGATATATATTTTGCCACTTTAAACCTATATTCTGAGGTTAAAAACTCAGGTGAAATAAGTACCCAGTTGTAGTTGCTTCTGTTTAGCACATGTCACGGTTATTGTAACTAATTTTATATTTTTCTGAGTCAAAATTGTGTTTGTTGTGCATCAAGTACATGAGGAGATGGTTACTGCAATGTTCTTGGTCAGAATCCCTTGAAAACCAATGGACCCTACTCTCTTATATGGTAACAACCTGTTCATAAGTTTCAAAAGAATGTTGACACCTTACCAAGGAACCCTGTTTGATTGCTACATATCCAGCATTTCAGTAGAATTATTTAATTTTTTATGAAAAAGAACATTAAAAAAGTTTTCTCACTTTGCCTGTATTTGATACTTGTGAATATGTTTTTCAAGTAATCACAATCTATTAGAAAAAACTTTTCAAATGATTGATCTGCAGAAGTCGCCATTCCCATCTATAGTAATTTTTGTAGATATTAATTTTAAAAATTTCTCTAACAGATTGTGATCATTTGAAAAGCTTATCTAAAAATATTAAATCAAGGCCATTGTCCCTTAATAACCATATCTTCTAATTTTCCAGAGGCTCTATACTCGAACTGTACATTTAATAATGGAGGGTGCCACCATTTCTGCACAGAGACAAACTCTTCCCGAGTGTGTAGCTGTGCCCCTGGGTACAAGCTTGACGATGACTACAGTAGCTGTTCTCCTTCAGGTAAGATTCCACCCATTTTCAGCAAGAGATCTGTTCTGGACAGAGTGTCATTTGGAATCATTTCGGTTGCTTGAACCACTGAAAGAATGACGCAGCTTAAAAAAAGGTGCTCACTTTTAACACCTGATACAATGCCCCCATTCCTGTCCAGGTGGGGGTTAATATTGCTGTGAAAGGTACTTGTGACTGCATCTCACACTTTTCCCCATGCTCTGGTATGGGAAGCATATTAAATAAATGCACCCCTTGTAACCATGGACAGTCTCACAGTGAAGACAGATACTAGCATGTGGTTGCCCCCAATTCTACTTCCACTTTATGGGCTGTGAGATGGGGCCTATTAAGTGTAGGATACCCATGGCACCCTATTAATGAGAGAGTACAAATCCATGTTCTCTCCTCTCCCATAAGGTTAACTATGAAGAGCAATGGTTGCCATGCTCTCCTCTCCTTATACTATCTTTTGGACTGTGTGTCGGTAGATTTAGGGCTGCGATGGCAAATCGATGGAATGCATGGCACAATGGACACGCAGAGGTCTCTCTCCTGGCATGTAGTGGGTAATCAGGGCTTGTGCAGACTATATTAATTGCTCACAAAAGAAGGCAAATAAATCCATGAAAAAAGGCGTTTATTAAGGTACATACTTTTTTTTTTTAATGAATGCGGAGCTGCTAATTGCCTTAGTGCAGCTGGGCAAGGGCACCAATAATTGGATAGAGTGGTCAGCTGACCATGTTAGCCAATCAGTGCTGCCCCTACCTGACTGCACTCTGCGCTTCAAAAAAGGTATTTTGGAAGCCAGATGCTGCTTGGGCAATTGGGAATCCCGGGGCTGGAGGCAACCTTTGGAGTTAAACCTTTCTCACACGGTTTAACCGCTCAGGTAAGAAAGCTGCCGTGACCTCCTGGCACCCTAACAACTTCATTTATATTTATATGAAGTTGTTATGGATCCAGGAATATTTCTTAAAAGTATGAACTCGCACTGCAAGCAGAGGTATAAATGGGCTATAGTATCTATTAATGTTATGATAGTATATTTAGGCTAAAACTCCATTTGCCTCTAGTCTTTTGTGTAAGTGATATGTTAGCAAAGTTCCAAAATAATTGATGAGTACAAGAGTTATAATACATCTCTGGTTTTGTATGTGTAACCTATACTGTCAGTGTCCTTAGCTCTGTATGTGCATATAAGTGCTCTAGGTAGCATCAGTTGATAACATGATCAGTGTCACATGGTTTGCAGTGGAGTACCCTTGCGGAAAACAGAAAATCTTGGACTTTGAAATTAAAGTGCGGCTCACCGGTGCAAAGCAAGGCCGAAAAGGGGACAGTCCTTGGCAGGTGAGATTTTTTTTATTTATTTTTTTTGTAATATCTCACCATAATTTTGTAAACAAGGGTATGTTTATTTAGGCTTTTTTTTATAGTTTTCCCAGTGGCCAAAGCAAAATATATAGGCTTACAAAATGAGAAAGCTCAGTGTAACGGACCGTTTTGCACAAAAGGGGAAAAAAACGTTTAGGCGATCGGCCCCCTTTCCAGAGATACAGGCACAGCTACTGCAGAACACCAAACTCCCGAACTGGATACAAAATAGCACTCCAACTCCCGAACTGGAACCTCCCAAATAGCTGCTAGCAGACGAACAGGAAAAGCAGACAATCAGCTTACACTCCTGGCAATCAGTCTCTAACAGCATACAGTGAATCCCCCCAAGAACGAGACAAGGCTCCGTGTTGAGGGTCAAGCAGTGGTCTGAGGTGCTGGCACACCCAGCCTGGTTTTTATTACAGTCTTGCAAATACAGGACCGCCCACAGGGAGGTATAAAATATCCAGTAACATATTAGTTACAACCCACAGATTCCCTCCCCCTTATCCTGAGAGGTAACCCAATACACATACCTTTTACCACAATGCATCCTGGCTTCCTCTCCTCTGCCCTGGAGATAAGTGAGAAGTAATTCAATTATCTCCCAGGACAGGGACAAGACTCCATTATGCACATGGTGACACAAAGACAGTAAAACACTTTAAAATACATAAAGTCACCTTTTACACATAACACACAGACATTTAACATATCCCCAGATAGCTCAGGTCTGAGCGCACATTATTAAGCGAATGGCGCTCAGACCACACGAATACAGTTTAATCGCCATGGAGCCAAAGTCTTTACAGTCAGTTTCATACGAATGGGCTCCATGGGATTCCTATCTGGGGTATAACACATTCAAACAAATCTACCGAACCCCAGGCAGAAAAGCACGAATGAAGCTTTTCTGCAGGTAAAAAAGATGTCTTTTAACAGGGGGCCATAGTCCAGAGGCAGCAGGCGAGCAACCAGGCTTCTCCAATGCAATGTGGCGAGATTGGTCTCGTCACATCTCTCCCCTTTTCCAAACAGACTAACAGGGTATCTGACCTCCTGCCGGTCAGTGCCCTTGTTAGTCCAGCAGCCCACCCACAAAACACAATCAACAGCACAGCCCACCCACAATAAATAGTTACTGCACCTGGGTAGAGGAGAAACTTGTCCATGTCCAGGTGCCTCACCACGGCTGTGCTGGGTACGGGTACGCTGACTTGGTGGGGTGCTGCGTGGGCAGAGACCAGCGTCACTCTGCCCTGTTGCCAGCGCTACTGGGAGGGTAGCCTGGTTGAAGCCTGGTTGTTGGAGGGGGAGACCGACTGTCTCCCCTTTAGATACACAGTCCTGCTGCTGGAGACCGACTGTCTCCCCTTTGGTTACACAGCTCTGCTGCTGGAGACCGACTGTCTCCCCTTTGGTTACACAGCTCTGCTGCTGGAGGGGGAGACCGACTGTCTCCCCTTTGGATACTCTAAGCTGTCGCTGGGGAGAGGGGGTAACAGGCTCCTCTCCCGATAGAACACTCTGCCGCTGGGGAAAGGAGACTGAGCTCTCTATTCCCTGCCCATTAATGATCCGCCGCTGGGGAGAGGTGGTAGCAAGCTCCTCTCCCATACATACTTTCATCCTCTGTGGAGGGAGACCAAGGTTCTCGTGTCTATACAGTGTGTACCTGCATACTTTCAATGTAAACACTTTCTTGTCAGAGAAAAGGCAGTGTTTACATTACTGCCTAGGAACACCTCTAGTGACAGTCACTCAGAAGGCCGTTAGAGGTGATTTTTGTGTTAGTGCTGCACAGTGTTCATGACCGGCGTTCAGCATGTCCACACTCTGCATGAAGGCACTGAGTGTTCCCCATTGAGATGCCGTGATTTAATGCATCTCTATATGGAGATGCCGATTGGTTTAGCACCGCGTTTTGTCTCGCATACACGATATCCTGATTGACTGAGATCATCAAAATTGGCTTAGCCAGACACAGTTAAACTGGCGTGGGAGACAAGGTAAGTAAAATCACCTTTTCCAAGTGATTAGGAGGGGGGTGGTTACCCAAGCAGCTACAAAGGCACTATAGTGTCCAGAATTCATGTTTGTATTCGTGACCAGGGCCGGATTAAGATTCCTTTGGGCCTTTTGCTGACAATTATGATGGGCCTAATTACAGAATCTTATCGACAGAAAACACTTAAACAGTTATACCTCCCAAGCGTCATGTATCTAGTGGAGATGGTGCTGGAGGGAAACTCATAGAATGCAGCTATACGAAAACACATACCCTTCATTGTTCAAGTAAATCCATACCCCCTAACAGCAGTGTCTGGCGAAGCAGGATTTCGGTAGGCAGGGTAAAAGGGGTGGCCACTAATGTGAATCATGGAACCAGGACATGCCCAAAACGCGGGCGTGTATGCACAAAGAATTAGATGGTCAGCCTGGCATAAATGCACATCAGGCTGTCTGCCAATCATGCAGAATGACTAAACAAAGGCATACTGTGCAGACAGCACACTGAGATTGGCATAAATGCGTCTAATGATGTGCTAGGACTGTCCCCTAGCACTCAATGTTCCACTCCTCTCCTAACCTTCTTACTTGCAGGCAGAAGCTCCTGTTAATGCAAGGAGCCTAAATAATAACATGGGGTAACTAGAGGCAATAATACACACTAAACAATTATGATATAATAGGCATAACAGAAACATGGTGGGATGAGACACATGACTGGTCAGTTAACTTAAATGGGTACACGTTATTTAGGAAGGATAGGAAAAACAAGAAGGGTGGTGGGGTATGATTGTATGTCAACCATGAGTTGAAGTCAAATCTTAGGCATGTGGAGTGTGACGAGGAAAATGTGGAAGCTTTTTGGGTAGATATCTGCTTAGGGCAAACCAAGGGAAATCAATTATTGGTTGGGATATGTTATAAACCACCTAATGTAAATATTAATGAGGAAGAACAGCTGTTAGAGCAAATTGAGAAAGCTGCAAATCTGGGTAACACGTTAATTATTGGTAGGGATGTGCATGGGGAAAATATTCGGTTCGGCATTCCGAAATTCGGAACTTCGGCGGTTCGGCACTTCAACACTTCAGAATTTCGGGACTTTGGATGTTCTCTTGGAGCTGCTTAGTAGATAACTCCCTAATTCCCAAGGTATTAGGGAGCTCTCTACCAAAAGGATGAGACCTAAAAATTACTTAGTATTAGGAGGGGTGGGAGCCGGGGTGAGGACAATAGGTCCCCTCCCCTTTATTTTACTTTAGGGCCCCCACCCACCGCTCAGGGGGGAGGACAATAAGTCCCCCCCCTTATTCTTCTTTAGGGCCCCCACCCGCCACTCAGGGGTGGGGGCCGTGGGGGAGGACAATAGTAATTTAAGGCCCCCACCCGCCGCTCAGGGGTGGGAGCCGGGGGGGGGGGCAATAGATCCCCCCTTTAGATTAAAAGCCCCCACTCGCGCATCATGGGTGGGGGCTCAGGAAGGGGGACTCGTTTTTTTGGGGTGGGGAGGGGTTTTAACAGTGAGCAGCCACATGCTGCTCACTGTTTAATAGACATGCCCCTACTCGCGGTATAGCGAGAAGGGGCAGTTTATTTACTAATACTAAGTAATTTCAACTTAGTATTAGTAAATTTGGCTGAAAGACCAATGTAGGTCTTTCAGCCTTTTGGTAGCTAGCTCCCTAATACTGTGGGAATTAGGGAGTAATCTACTTACTCATCCCCATCCATTGACTGTAATGGAAGAAACTTACATTTTATATGAATGTGTGTTACTTGATTGTTGTAAGTGTTGCAAATGCGTACAGCTGAATCCTGGCTATGTTTGTATACTTTTTATTTAAACTGGTATACAGTGTAACATTCTTCATCCTTCTACTTCGGTACTTTGGAAGTTCGACACTTCGGAAATATGGCAATTCAGCTATTCGGACATTCGGAAGATTCTGAATGTCCGAATTTACATTCGGAACGAAACGAATTGCACATGTCTAATTATTGAAGATTTTAATTACCCAGACATAAATTGGGATAGAGGGACTAGTACTTCAGCAAGGGGAATCAGGTTTTTTAATGTGTTAAATGACACCTTCATGTCACAACTGATACAAGCACCAACTAGAAAGGATGCTTGTCTGGATCTCGTTATAACAAACAATGTTGATCTTTTGACCAACATTTAAGTAGGGAAGCATTTGGGAAATAGTGATCACAATATGGTTATTTTTTAAATAAAATCAAAAAAGAAGCAGCATGTGGGGTATACTAAAACGTATAATTTTTTAAAAGCCAGTTTCAGTAAGATTAGGGCAGCTCTACAACATATTGACTGGCATAAACTCCTTAGTGGAAAAAAACACTGAGGATAAATGGAAACTATTCAAACAGATATTAGAAAGGTACATTTCTCATTATGTACTATTAGGTAATAAACATAAAAGAAACAAATTGAAACCAATGTGACTTAGTAGAGAAGTAAAACAAAAGATTAAAAATAAGAAAAGGGCATTTAAAGCATTTAAATCAGACAAATCAGAGGCATTCTATAGAAGATATAAGGAAGCCAATAATGCTGGCAAAAAAGGCAATTAAAGTGGCTAAACTAGAAAATGAGAAATTGATAGCCAAAGAATGCAAAACCCCAAAATTTTCAAGTACATCAATTCTAAAAAAAACTAAAAATTCAAGTGTAGGTACACTGGAAACAGAGATGGGTCTGTTAGTTAATGAAGACCAAGAAATGGCAGAAATTTGAAATAAAATTTTTCTTCAGTATGTATTAATGAGGATCCTATGGCAAGAGATATGCAAATGATTGCTGCAAAACGCTTGCAGATAACTTGTGACTGGATGACTCGAGACAAGGTGCTACAGCAGTTCAAGAAAATTTATGTAAATAAAGCTCCGGGGCCTGACTGTATTCACCCACGAGTACTTAAGGAGCTAAGTGAGGAAATAAGTGAACCTCTATTTAATCTTTCAAGATTCTTTTGTTTCAGGTATTGTACCGGAGGATTGGAGGAAGGCAGATGTCGTTCCTATATTTAAAAAAGGTTCAAAATCCTTGCCTGGAAATTATAGATCTGTGAGCTTAACTTCTGTGACTGGGAAAATATTTGAACGGCTATTAAGGGATAATATTCAAGAATTAATTGGGAAGAACTTATTAGCAATAATCAGCATGGTTTTATGAAACATAGGTCATGTCAAACTAACCTAGTTACATTCTACAAATAAGTAAGTAGAAGTATAGATCAGGATGTTGCAGTGGATGTGATCTGCTTGGATTTTGGTTCCTCACAATAGGTTAATCTTAAAAATAAAAGAAATTGGTCTAGATGAATATTCTTGTTCTTGGGTAGAACATTTGCTTAAGGAAAGAGTAGTCATTAATGGTAAATTTTCAAGCTGGACAAAAGTGGTAAGCGTTTTTCTAACTAGTCTCCGAGGTCTCTCTCACCGTGTCCGGACTCAAGATCAATTTTGTTGAACCTTGGACACAGATCACCGCTCCAAGACCGTTACGCATGACCATAGAGGCGTCCATTCCAGTTCACTATGAAGTTTGCTCCTGATGGGCAAGGATGCAGTGGAGTGCACTCCCGCCCTGTTCCCTCTCCGCATGCCCTCAAAGCATATGTTGTCTATTGACACTTCAAGACAGAGGGCACCCATCTCCTCAGAGATCTGTTCTGCGAGGGTGACTGAATCTGAGGGAACCCTGCATGGATTTCACCATCAACGTGGACATATTGGATCTGTTTCACTCTCAGTCGGTCCAGCTTCTGGATTTTGTGTAATATTCAGTCCAGGAGGTGCTCCACCTTCCGAGGTCCGCCTTCAAGAAAGATATCGGTCACATGCTCCGCAACCCGCGGGTCACACTTAGGGACCTAACCCTGTCGATTGGCCGTTTGTCATCCGCCATGGAAGCCATATCTCCAGGACTTTCATACACTCCAACGCCTGACGGCTCGCTATCTCAGGTCTTCAGCTTTGTGCAACCGAATCAGGTGGCTTTCGGATGAAGCTCATCTAGAACTTCATTGGTGACTTCGACATATGAGGACCTGGACTGGCAAAAGGTTTTTTTGACCCCAACCAAACTTCGTCCTGGACTCCGACGCTGGCTGTATGGACTGGGGTGTTACTTGCTAAGGCGTGACGACAAGAGGACTCTGGACTCTGGAGGAGAGAGCTCTTCACACCAACTGTATGGAACTACCTGCAGGTTCGTTCGCCATTCGCAGCTCCCCCAAGGGGAGAATTACTGCGATTTCCGACTGTCCACTCTGGACTGTAGTAGGACCTCAGGAAGGATCTCTATCAATACTGTCTGGGCAAGTATTCGTCACTTGTGACAGAATGTCTGCGGGACGAGACACTCATGTAGCGGATCGGTTATCCCGTCAGTGGAGAGACTCCAACGATTGGTTACTTCACCCTCCAGGGTCTCAAGGACTGGACTGATTGCATCCAGGGCGAACCGTCAAACGGTGTGGTTCTTCAGTTGGTTTCTGGACCCTCAGCGAGGCGTTGGACGTGTTCTCCAAGTTTGGCCTCCTTCGGGGGCGTATGCGTCCCCTTTTTTCTACAGGACACTTCAGGCATTGCATCAGACCAAACTCTTGGGAGTTTGGCTTCGCCTGGTCACACAACTTCGGAGGTGTCAACCGTGATTCCCTCTCTTGCTGGAGTTCTTGTGGGAAGACCCTCTACTACTCCCTGTCTCTAGGTGTCCCGTGTGGGATCCACAAGGGTATCCTGGCATGACTGGTGCCTGGAGAGAGGCTTGGATTCCTGTTACGGTCTCTATCATGGCTGTTCTCAACTGTTTTAAATATGTTTATTTGTTTCATAACATATTCCAATGCAAACGTATAACGTGTTAAAGCGGTTTAGTGCCTGCGCAGAGGCCTGGTTTTCATTGCATGAATGGATATACAAATCGTTGCCTGCGCAGAGGCTTATCAATCATGTCTATTGTTCTACAGCGTTTAATATAATATCACATTTGAGCGTGTTTTTGTTGTCTTTCTTTTTAGGGCATTGTTCAAACTTTGCAGTATCTAATAATCATTTGGCATTGAATGATAACAAATCATTAAGTCCTTGCTGCCTGGCCTGATTCTTATCTGTCCATCTTGCATATTTATAGCCAAATAAAATATATTAATATGTAAGCATGTAAACGTGTAAATGCTCATTTAAATAAAGTAATTAACTTATAATGCGTGGTCTGATATAGACTGTTGCTAAACGTGCAGTACTGGTGAAGGTTATATAATCGGACACCCTTTATAAAATGCCGTAGTCTTGTATATTAAACATGCATTAACTTTACGAGAATTTATGTTTCTTAACTTGAATCAAACATGGGGATGCCGTGTTTAAATGCTGTGTCCCAGCTGCTATAACCGTATAGAGGCAATTAATGTATTTTATCTAGCCTATTTCTCCGGTACGGTTGTTGGAGCAGGTTTTTGCATCATGAATAGATAACATATTTTTTGTCTGCGTGTGTTGCAAATATAGTTAACAACTAAGCCTTGGCCTAGGTGTATATATTATTGCATTACCGGGCCAATCTTAATTAGAGCAAGAAAATGGTCAACTTAGTTAAAGGCTGGTAAGCGGATCTTGCAATATTATTATCACCTTATGTGAAGACCCTTATTACACGGTCCAAGTAACATGCAGAGTTATAAAGAAAACTTATAAGGGCATATGAAATTTATAAAAATTTGGAAGCATGAAAATATGAGTCTGTAAGGTACAGGCTTAGTGGCCGTAGCTGGGGACTCTATAATGGTCCGATCCGGATCGTTCATGGCGCAGCAACAATGTGGTTCCAGTGCGCCAGGTTTCCTTCTGTCCTCCCCAGACAGGCACTTTCCACCGACTGGGCTCTCTGTGGCCCCGTGGGCACTCGGGGCCAGAGACCGACCACAGAACCCCCACACCTAGGGTCTGAGCGCCCCCTGTCCCCTGCACCTCCCCAGCACCTCTCAGGCTTCCTTGGAATGTAGGCCCCCGTCTCTCCCGGGGCCGGCCACACACTTGGGGGCGATGCCTGTCCCTCACGGCCACCGGTCTGCCGGAAGGCCCGCATCCCCCTGATCCACAGGACTCGCAGCATCAGGGACTGGACTCTCTGAGAACCCCCACAGACTCGGTAAGTCCGGGCCGTCACTCCTTCAGTGGGCAGGTAGTCAGGGATTACATTTAGTTGCCGTCGCCATCCGTGGCCACGTGTGCCGCACTTGCCAGCCCTTCCGGTGCCGTCAATAGTCCCCTTCATGCCGTTCTTTCGTAGTAATGAGTATTTAAAATGGTCCTCACAGCTCTTTTACCGGCGGGCTCCTTTTCGGCAGCCTTTGCAAGTTCAGGAGGGCAGTCTGGGCCCAGCGCGGGGAGCTCCCGTCTCGGCGTGTGTCGCCTCCATGAGGCCGGATAACCCCACCGGCCGGGGGGGGGGCGGGGCCATGCCCCGAGCCAGCAGCTTCCGTTGCCAGAGTAAGTTGCTTTTGTTTCTCTTTAGGATCGGCATGTATTCTGGCCGACCCATGGTCACCCGGGTCTAGTTTTGTGGTCCTGGGTAGGCCTTGAAAGTCCTTTACGGTGCTCACAGCCTTCTTTTCGGGTCTAATTGGTATCTTTGTAAAGCTGATGTCATCCTCCTCATTATTTCAGCGGGCAATCTGGTCTTCAGGCCTTCTGTGGTCGTCTCAGATCCAGATTAATTTGTTTGGGTCGGGAGCCCTGATAGTCTGCTGCCATGCGGCTCGGCGGCCCGCCCCCGCCCCCGCTGTTCTCAACTGTCTGACTGAATTGTCCTTTCAGGGTGAGTTTGTATGGGACCATTTACGTCTTAGGTCAGCTAGTTTGACTGCTCATGTGCCTTCTCAAGATGCTGGCATTGGTAAGGATCCCTTGGTCTACAGACTTCTACGTACATCTGTTTTTCTGCACATTCGTTCACTCGGATTTTGTGGATTCTCTCATCGGTTGGCTTTGCGAGTTCCTTTGGGACACACTTGGTTCGGGGCGCTGCTTCTTCAGCAGCTTTAGAAGCCGTTGGGTCCCTTCTGGATTTTTCCCTGCACCTCTGTTTGGTCTAGGGAATCGATTTTCCGTTTTCTTTTTAGTTCCGTCCTCAATCTCATATTGCTTCTGTTTTTTTATGTTTGGGCGTTAAAATTGCAAATATGAAGCCTCCTTTCTTGCCATAAAATTAGGGATTATTCTAGACTTGGTGAGGGAATAATCTAAAATTTTATTAAAGACAGGAGGCAAATATTTCCCTCCCTTTACGTGCCCTCCCTGGAATTGTTTTTTTTTTTCTCTCTCGTGGTTAATTGGGGATATTGTTATGTTTTGTGAATGCATGGTCTTGTATAATAAAGTTTACTTCTACTATACAGTGGTGATTGTCCGTGTACGATTTTATTCATCATGTATTATGTTGTGCAAGTGATATTGTATGGATGTGACATCTTGCTTTGACAGTTTACTTTCACAATGTTTTCTTTTTCTTGCAGTGTAATCTGTTTTCCCTTCTGGGTTTGACGATTGGTTCTCTGGATGTACCTGCTACAAGGTGGATTCGTTGGTTTAATTGCTCTTCTGCTCGACCTCATCAAAGAAAGAGGAAGTGGGAGGGTCTGCCTAAGTGGTTTTATACTGCTGTTGTTTTGTTCTGATTGGGTGTTTTGAAAAGTTCTGTTAACTATTTCTTTGCTGCTGGAGGTTTTAGTAAAGAAGCTAAAGCAAATATTCGCCTCCTGTCTTTAATAAAAATTTAGATTATTCACTCACCGAGGCTAGAATAATCCCTTATTAGGCAGCAATATGCAATGTCAAGTTGCTGAGCAACTGCAGATTGACATTGCATATTGCTGCCTAATTTGTTTGTCTATTACAATTCCCAAATACTTCTTGTGTCTTGTTATCTCTAATTCACTACCATTTAGGGTGTATTACCAGTAAGGTATTGTCATGTATAAATTGGGGTATTGTCATCTATAAATAGGGGCATAAATTCTCAGGATGAAAATATAATTTTGCCTCTTTATAGATTGCTGGTAAGACCACACCTTGAATATGCTGTGCAATTTTGGGTACCTGTTCTAAAGAAGGATATCATGGCACTAGAAAAAGTGCAGAGACGAGCTACAAAATTGATAAAAAGAATGGAGCATTTTAGTTACAAAGAAAGGTTAAAAAATGTAAATCTCTTTAGTTTGGAAAAACGGTGCCTTAGAGGGGATATGATAACATTATGCAAATATCTTCGGGGCCAGTACAAACCATTATCTGGAAATCTATTCATAAACAGGGCTATACATAGGACACGAGGCCACACATTTAGGTTGGAAGAAAGGAGATTTAATCTAAGGCAAAGAAAAGTTTTTTTTACAGTAAGAGCAATAAGGATATGGAATTCTCTGCCTGAAGAGGTGGTTTTATCAGAGTCCATACATATGTTTAAACAGCAATTGGATAAATACTTCCAAAAACATAACATACAGGGATATAATTTCTAATTAGTGGAGTAATAGCTGCTTGATCCAAGGAGATTCTTGACTGCCATTTTGGGGTCAAGAAGGAATTTTTTCCTAGTTTGTTGCAAAATTGGAAGCACTGCAAACTCGGTTTTTTGCCTTCTTTTGGATCAACAGCAAAAACTTGATGGATGCAAGTCTCATTTCAGCTATGTAACTATGGGCCTATTCCATAGGCATGGACCTGGAGCTGCAGCTCCATCAGCCCCTATGTAAATCCAGGCCTGTTCCTGACACTATAGTGTTCCTTTAAAGTTCTGTTCATTAAAGCCACCCTGTACTCAATAGTGCAGGGACATCCAGAAGGCAAAATTCTGTTTGAAATCCTGTTTAACAATGCCGAGATTTTGAAACACAGTCCTCAATTTGATTTGGATTTCACTTATACGGTGGCGTTCAGTCTGTTTGAAATTTGGACCAAATACAGGTAACCCAGAAGATTCAAATCTGTACCTGGATGGTTAAACTCTAGATCTAGATTTTACAAATCTCAATTATTTGCCAGCGGCAATAGCAGGCAGCTGATATAGAATTTAAAAAAGCTATCTTGGCGGCACAAGGGATTACCATGTGGTTGCTGGCCAGTGCTTGCTAGCCAACAGTCACACCAAAAAGTTAAATTAATATTAAAAAGCTTAAGTGTGTCAATATGGCCCCAATATTACTATAAAGGAGACTTTTAAAAAAACTTTCGTATTTCCATTATCATCATGCTGTAGGTGGAGGCATATCTACTAAACAGTGAGCGGCCAGTGGCGGTTGGGCAACCATTGGACTGGAAAAATTCTCCAATCCAACTCTTTTATCCAAGTCAGCTACCTTGGACTAAATATTTAAAATTCCTCACCTATTCAGCTCAGTTCACTTTTTAGCGAATAGATCATTTGGGATACTAATCTACTCATATACAACATTTATTAGATACATTTATTATTTATAGGGACACTATAGTCACCAGAACAACTACAGCTTATTGAATTTGTTCTGGTGAGTAGAATCATCCCCTTCAGGCTTTTTGCAGTAAACACTGTCTTTTCTGAGAAAATGCAGTGTTTACATTACAGCCTAAGCCTAGGGATACCTCCATTGGCCACTACCCAGAAGGCTAATAGAGGTACTTCCTTGGGCAGTGCTGCCATTCAGAGTCTCCACTCTTTGCATGGAGACACTGAACTTTCCTCATAGAGATATATTGTATCAAACATGTGATGCTGATCGTCCAGGACTGTGTTGGGCTTGTGCTGTCTCTGCCCCTGATCTGCCTACTTGACAGTCTCAGTCAACCCAATGCTTTCATATAGGAAAGCATTGTGATTGGATCAGAACACCACTTCTGGTGATGTCAGCCAAGCAGGCAGATCAGGGGCAGAGCCAGCAGCAGACTGGAGTAAAACTAAGATTTTATTATATTTAGGGGGAGGGAAGGGGGGCAGGGGGTTAGTTGGTGTTTTAACACTACAGGGTCAGAAAGACATGTTTGTGTTCCTGATCCTAAAGTGTTCCTTTAAAGAAATCTTTGGCCCTGGACTTGCAATCTTGCAGGGCATGGAACTGGTTTGGGGAGAGGGAGAGTTGCCCCCTGGGGCACCTCATGACCTTGTTACACCTCTGAGACATTGCATACACTATTTAAAAATGTCTATATTCTGCAATACGGGCTCCAAATGAGAATGAATTTGCTTTGGATTTCAGCCAGACTGAACAGCTGCTTGGGTGGCCACTAGAACTGCAAGTGGGCAAATAAAACAATACTATGTGAATGTGCATCCTATCAAATGCATTTAGCGATGAATGCTCTGCAGGGTCTTAGTGCCCGTGCATGCTGCTAGTACATTTAATGATGTGCTCAACTTCTGCTACCCGAGGACAGTATTTGGGACACCAGGGAACTGTCCTCACTGAAATTGGGACATTCCTGACGAAACTGGGACTGTTGGGGAGCCTGTGACTGAATTCTGACAGGATTTGGCTTTGATGAATTTGAGAATTGCCAATTCACTGTGAATTCGGACCTTTTTACCAATATATATTTTTTAAATCTTTCTTTACTAAGTAATATAAGGAGATTGCGTAGCTAATTTTGCAAAGGTCACATTACGCATGGTATGCACAAAAAGATATACCGCATTTTAATATAGAAAAAGGTTTTTCAATTGTATGCAAGTGTAAAGCTCAAGTAATAATTAAAAGCATATAGGCTCAGAGGCATAATGAGTAAAGTCCTTGTAAAGTAAAAAATGGAGAATAAACTGAATTAAAAATAAAAAGTAAATAACTAAAGCACAGCTCTGCTATACTAGATAGTGTATAGTCCCCAAGGGCTAGCTGACTCCTTGATGAAGAACATGCACTATAGTGGCACAGTCTGTGCTTAGCCCTCAGGTCCAAGACTGTAAAGAGCCAGGAAAAGTCCAGGCATGTTTCTCAGTCATGTCAGTCCATTTGTCAAGGTCTGTCCTAGATACAGATCCAAACGTTTGCCATGTGGAGTTGCTTTGCTTGGCACACATCTGTCTAGCTTATCTTTGAGGCTCTTTCCCCCAAAGACCCTTCTGGAATGGAAACGGTGAAAGGGGGTAATGCTCCTGAATCCCTGCTGCCTGTAAATAGGCAGCGAATCCTGCCCAGCAGTGTGTTGGGTCACTTCCAATTCTCTTCAGAGGCTCACTGGCAATTACTAACAGTGATAGAATTAATGCAGGGACTGTGGTTCTCAGCCTGTTCTCAACCCACATCCAAACTGCCACACACATACTGTCAAATGACCATAGAGAGTTCTCAAGGGGCTGCAGCTGGTGCCCAATCTGTTTCTGTGAATAGGCTCATAGGCCTCAGTTGGAGAGATCCAAGAAAACACCTGTCGATTCTGACAGAACCAGAGAAGGTTCAGAGTGTTGCCTATGAGATAAAGGTGAATGTAGTCTGTGTTTTGTCCAGTCAGCAATCAAGCATTGCCTTCCTTTTCACAGAATTTTGTCCCCAAAAATTTGGTATTTGCTGAATAGACCCATGAATGTTGAAAAATGGAGCAATCACCATGGAAACCAATTCAGTTGGTGTTCATGGGCAATTGCTTCATTTGTGGGGGGTTTCTTACTTTTATGTGAACACTTTGTTTTGTTTTTAATGTACTGGTTGATGTTCTGTTCTGATTCTTGCTTTTCTGATTTTAGGCCATGCTGCTTCATGAGAGGAAATTTCATTGTGGTGCTGCTCTAATTCACCCATCTTGGGTGTTGACAGCTGCCCATTGTATAGTGCATCCTGGAAAGTACTATGTGAGAGTTGGTAAGCATCTCTTTCAACAGCTAGTTATCCTGAGATTTTTGTTATAGATTTTACCTTGAATGGAGTACTTTTTGATTTACCCATACTGATGTATAGTTGGCCCACTGCCGACACTGTCAGCCAATGATCTAGCCCTACTAGTTCAGGAGCGCTAATGGATGTTACTGCATAGGAAATCCTGTACCTCTGGAATTGGTAGTGGAGATGGGCAGTGGTGCCAAGCAGCCTCCAAGTAAGAAGTTAAACCAGTTAAAAATGACTTGGCTACTTACCATCGAGGGCACTCCAGGAACCGTAACCACTACAGTGAGCTCTAGTGGTTATGGTGATTGGAATGTTCCTTTAATTTTTACTTTGCAGTCAATTTCACATGAATTCTTTTTTTTTCCCAGATATCAGTGAAATGTTGCCTCATCTTTCCATCCTCTCCTTACCTAAGCCTTGCCATACAGGGGCAGCTCATTGGCTGAGAGCATCAGCGGATCTCTCTCAGCCAATGAGCTAAGCTCTGCCCTGTTGGGCTTCGGTGAGGCAATGTAGGTAAGGAGCTGTGTCTGGTGGGGACATTGGGGATGCTACGGCACACCTGGCACCATAACCCCTACCATGCTTGGCGTTTTCCTTTAAAAATGTTTCATCTAGTCTGATAAACCCCTTGCTCACGGTGCCTAGAGGGATATTGGCTATACCTCACTGATGATACCTTACAAGGTTGAAATGATCGTCTGGGGTTGCTGTATCCTCGTGCAGAGGGAACTTGTTGGCATTTCGGATGGGTGGGACCAGTGTGATATGCTTCAGATATGTTCTCTCTGTAATGGCACAAGATGAGCTAAAATCAGCTTTAGATCTGAGCGGGGAACCACCTAAGTGCAGGCTAATTGAGCTGTTGTCCATTCTCACCTCTCTTGCTACTTGTTTTTCTAGTCTGATAAACTGTTTGTATTTTTTTTATTTCATTTATATCTAATTTTCCATGTGCCTAGGTGAATATGACCGTCGAAAGATGGAGGACACAGAGAAGCAGATTCAGGTGGTGAAGATCATCGGACACAAACAGTACCAATCTGATAATGCAAATAATGATATTGCTTTATTGCGTCTCTCAGAACCTGTTGTCTATTCCAAGTATGTGCTTCCCATCTGCCTGCCAAGTCTGGGACTAGCTGAGCAATATTTGACTATCAATGGCACTGAAACTATAGTTACTGGCTGGGGAAAGCAGGATGAAATTCTTCGCAATCACTCGAGCGTTTTAAGTTACATACAGATTCCGCTGGTACACCGTAATGAATGTGCTGAAGTAATGAGTCACGAAGTGTCCGATAATATGATATGTGCTGGCCGTCTGGGGGACAAACAAGATGCCTGCCGTGGAGACAGTGGTGGTCCCATGGTCACCAAGTTTAAGGGCACCTGGTTTCTAGTGGGGTTGGTAAGCTGGGGGGAAGGATGTGGACGAGAATATAACTATGGAGTATACACCAAAGTTAGCCGTTACCTCGATTGGATCAACCAGGAAATGAACAATTATGAAACAGAAATCGCGCGAGCAGCCCAAGAAAAAGAGGCTTTACGAAAGGCACGCAAAGTCATTAAAAATAAAAAATAAAATATGTTTGACATGGGGTTCAGAGAACTGAAGAAAATGAAGAAAAAAAAAAACCTCGAGTGTATTATTAAACTTTTATTATAGCAATCAGACAATGTGCTTTATTGGAATTTTTTAATTGTCATGAAATACAAAATAAGGTAAAATTGCAGCTTCGGGTAGTCTTACAACATATTGTATAATCCATCAACAGTACAATGAAAATAAGATTGGAAAAATCTTGCCTATAATTTAGGAAGAATGGTGGCAAATATACACTTATAAATATATAATGTATCTTTTATACCATAGAGTAGACATTGGGATATAAATCCCTACAAGAGTGCAATGGAAGGTGCTACGAGAAAGAAGCAATGCCTTAGATGTGAGCTCATGAAGATAGGTATTTGGTTGGATCAGAATTTTTCCATAAACCAGTAGAACTTTGTTTATATTCTTGTGAGGTTCCATTATCCAACTGAATCAGGTCCTATATCGCTCTCACTCCCTTACCTTGATAAAAGGGCATTCCCACTGTGGAGAAACACCTTCGGATATCGTCAATATCAGAAAAGATAGAACACAGGATGATTGTAGTTGTGTTCCAATGTATTAGTAACCTAAAGGATCATTCCAAGCACCACAAGCACGTTTAGTGAGTATCAGTGGCAGAACTAATGTAGAGAGGGCCCTGGTGTAGGAAATGTTTTTGGGTCCCCCTCTGTGCAGGTGCAGACTCACTAGTCCGGCACATTGATCATGGACCAATGGCTTGAGGCAGTCAGGGGCCCAGCTGCACAGCCATGCTCTAACTGGAGGGATCAGAGATCTCCCCATATGGAAAAGCATAAATCATAGAAATTTATTTCAGTGATATGTTGTGGAGAATCTGATGGCGTGGAGTGCCCCTACTATCCTCTTTGCTCTTACTAAAGGTGGAAAGAGTGGATAGGAAGTGACATCATATCCCCTGCTCTCCTCTCTCATAGAGCACTCTCAGCCTGGCAGAGACAACAGATATGCCATTAAAATAAAAAGATATATTGAAGTTCGGGATGGTCTGCAGCTGCAGAACCTCTCAACTTCAATATAGTCACCAGAATGACACTCCAGAGTTGTCTGGGGTTTAACCCCTTAAACGCGCGTCAGGCTATTTTCACATGGTCACTTTGGTGTATTATTCCATGTATATTTAAGCATGGAATAATTTTTATAGCACGCAACTTTTCCTTTCTTTTTCTAACCTCTGACTGTCTAGCAAGCTTAACAGGGAGAGAGGCTTTGTCTTATCTCTATGCTGCTTTTTCTTTCAGCTAGTTTAAAAGTGCTGCTTTGAGACATCACCATACCAAGATATAACAACCTGGTATATGCCTGAAGGCAAATGTCTATTATCTAAGATTTCTATCAGCTTAGCCTCTAATGATGTTCAGGAGTGAACATTTACTATATGAACTGAATATCTCTGTCTACCTTGCTAATTACATTTAATTAACCATTTGGATGCCCCTTAGCTTGGCCACTTTGAATAAAGCCTTTATTATAGGGATTCTAATTGAGTTAATTTTTAGTCAGAGTAAAACAAATTTGCTTTAGTATTCACCCTGACTCAACCACTATTCTTGGTTCTTCAGATAGATTTACATTGTGTATAGCTTTCTAAATATCCAGACTATATCTACATTTCTAAGCAGTCTCATTTTGTTCTGTTTTGAATGAGGTATACCACTTAAAATGAATGGGAAAAGTAGAAATGGGGACTGATGGAGAGACAGCGGTTAGAGAGTAAGAAGGCAGAGGTGTATGTCGGATGAGTTGGTGCAGTGACAAACAGTCCAGTTTTTGCACATGTATTTTTGGAGCATTATCAGACATTATTGAGCGTTTTTGTGCATGGTATGTTTTTTGGCCGAGCTGCAATCCCAGTAGAATTGATACCTCTCAGTCATGCAATTGTGACGACGCTGGCTGAAGATACCATGAAATGAATAAATGTCACCAACAGTTTAACCAGCAAAGCAGCTGTGGTCCATTACATTGCCAAACGGATGTACTCAAACTTGTAAAACATTAAAGGTGAAATTATGTATTAAACCAACATAGGTAAATCAATGGTACTAATGAAAAACATGGATGTTATTTGTGAGCCATCCCTTTTCCTGCCAGTACTGTATTCATTATAACACAGACAAGGTTAGTACGAAATCACCAGCTGACCAGGGAACCGAGGAATTGAAAATGATAAATGCACATATGGGATGAATAATGAGGCAGATTCACTCAGTGATGTTGTGATATGGAGTTGAGGGGGAGAGGCACTAGACATTTGTGTCTGGAATGATTTCGGTTAGACATTTGTGTCTGGAAAGACAAAGAAATGGGGGTGAAAACTGGAGAGGAGTGTGGCATGTATCAGGGGAGGAGTGTAACATTTATGAGGGAAAACAGAAGAAGATATAATGCGTGACAACACAGGTGTGTGATAAGTAGACAACAGGTAACTGACAAGAGGGGGGATAATGTGGAGACAAACATGTGAGTGGTGCAAAGACACAAGTTGTGGTGACTTGTGAAATGTACACATAGAGACACTAAACATGGTGAGGAGGATTAAAAACAAATTATATACACTTATACCATTTAAATACATTCCTCATTTTCATATACTACATCAGGTAAAGGCAACCGTCGGCACACCAGATGTTTTGGACTACACCTTCCATGATGCTTTGCCAGCATTATGGGTGTAAGTGCATCATGGGGGATGTAGTACACAACATCTGGAGTGCCAAAAGTTGCCTATCCCTGCACTACATCATTGGTTCGAAAAAACACAATGACACAGTGTTCTAATACAATCCTCATTTGCACATGATTATAGTCTGCATACATTCACCCCTGCATTCACATTGATGTTCTTCACAATTTCACTCCTTAAGTCACATACACTGCTCAAATGTACTCTTGCGTTCACACACAGATACGCCATTCAACTCTATCCCTGCGGTCATACACAAACACTCCACATTAACACATTTTACCTGTATTCATGCACATAGACTGCCCATTAAAATACGCCCCAGCATTTATAGATACTTACACACGTCTACATTCCATACTGATAAAACCCTGCTTTCACAACCAGATAGGATACCACAGGAGGGAACTAAAAAGAAGGTCTTTAATTGGCCCATAGTTGTCATCTAATGTTGGAAAGACATGTCTAGCTTCGACAAGACAAGGCACTCTTTTTCCAGAGTGTCAAGTTGGACAAGATTTATGGGACCATAAAAGGCTCTAGCGCGCAGTGGCTGCTCCTGAAGTAAGGCAGATACTAAGTGCGCCTGTCGGGTCTGGAAACGTGTTGTACATGAATGCAGGCGGCAGACCCAAGACACATACATACTGACAACTAGACACAGATACACACAACATTCTGTTTAATTTAGAATTTCTTATCTCCTACATTGTTAATAGCCTTCTAGGCCCTACAGGAGTCTCTTGTGTGTGTTAAAGTTCAATTTACAGAGCAGCAAATAAAAACATCTAAAGAAAGTCAACATCTGATTGAAAATGAAACTATTTTTTTCATGTCACAGCCAGAGGAGGTGTGGATGTGGATAGAGCTGCATGGATAGAAACTAAGTGATTTAACACTTAAATGTAAGAGAATTGAGTAGTGAAACTGCAGGAGCATTATCTGTACAGTAAAACTGCTTTATTAAGCAACGGTTGTTTTGATGCCTGTAGTGTCCTTTTAAACAAATATAAATAAATAATGTTTCTTCCCCCCTCCCTGAGGCTTACCTTGGGCCAGGTAGGGGGAAATCCTGATCTCCCCGCTGGCTTGTTCAGCTGCCGGCGCCCCAGCTGCATTAAGGCACTATGCACAGAATGTCATTTATTGGTTGAGAGTGATCTGCTTACACTCTCAGCCAATGAATGGCCAGCAGGATTGGCAGAAGCTGGATGTGTGGCACCAGCCTTAGAAGATCCTCAGTGCCAGGTTTGCCTTATTACCGGGGACAGGGCCAGAAGGTGCTGCCCTTTGCCGCTATAAGTGTAACGCTACCTCTGCCTGTTGTCCATGCAATATGCTTGTGACAGATGAACAATGGTGACACAGCTGCCTCTCCGTTCTTCACAAGTCCTCCACCACAGCTTGTCCACCAGAGGATATCAGGCTGCAGGGAGAACTTGGCCTCAGTACTGGAACAGATGTAAGTGACTCAATTTGTCTTTTCTTTTTTGGTGGGGGGACCATGTCAGTAAAGGTTACTCTGACCAAAAGCAGTATTTTCTTAAAACAGTTTTTTGGTTGGAGTAACCCTTTTAGCCATTCAGGACCAACAACATGCAAGAACTGCCATTATTATAAGAACTTAATAAAATAATAAATTGATTGCAGAGCTGTAACTCATGACCCCACATTATTTGGTTCTACTGCTTCTTAAGATGTTCAAAAGTTTTGAAACTTCCAAGTATTGGTCTTTACTTCCTCCCCCATTAGGAGCTGTCAGTACATGGATAATTCTGCTGTTTATTTGATCTCTGCTTTGTGTAACATCTGTCAATATTTGCCTGAAATGATGATTAACTAGGGGTGCCTTGTTAGTAACAGAAAGTCCCTGCTACTACCGAAGGTCCAATAAACAACCTCTACTTACAGCCAAGCTGAGATAGTCCTGTGTAAGTGCTGACACACTCCCAGCAAAGGTAGGTGTTCAGATAGTTCTTTTTTCAATTATCTAAAAAAACGTTCAGTGAGATACAGTTTATTTTCCGGGACAAAACCCTCTGACGGCCACTTTGGCATCTTCTCTCTGCTATGAGATGGAAATAGTTAATTTAACTGACTTTTAAACCTGAGTTAAAGTTAAGCTTTTGCTGCACATTGTACAAAGGGGCTTGTGACTGAAATCTTAATTTTTCTATTTATTTGTGTACAATTTGCATTCTAACAGATCGTAAAGAACCAAGATGAGTGGCGGACGCCTGTGTTTTACCTTGATCCTACTCTCTACCTCAATGTGTTACTCAGGTATTTTTACATTTTTCTGTATGGCTTTGCTTTAAAGGGAAACAGTCACTTCTCTGGCATTGACATTGAATTGAACATTGAAAATCATGTGTGACTTGTGTTAATATTTTCTTCACAAGATCTGTTTTCTTTTAAATGTGTTTTATTAAGACTGCACGAACTAGTGATATGAAAAATGAAACATTTACACAATTAAGAAGACGGTCATAGAATCATTAGAACAATGTGTCTCTTCCACTAATATTTGTCTTCATAGAGTCACAGCTATTACCTAGGTTAAAATAATTAATTTTGTGAAAATGTTAAATAATAAACATTTAGAAATCAGTGTGTTGCATCAATATATCTCAGTAGTTCATAGGATTAAGAGCACACATCACTTGTTTAATGGCATTAGGACTAATGAGGTGTCTAAATTGTCAATTCTACTTAATTCTGGATAATTCCTTGTTTAATTAAAACAAACTCAGTGTTCATTGGAAGATGATGTCCTTGAGCCAAGCTCAGCCTTTGTCCCGGTGTCTTTCAGTGTTTATAAAACGTGAGCAGGCTCATCACGTGCTGCGTAAACGGGCCAATCATTTTCTAGAGGAAATTCATGCTGGCAATTTAGAGCGGGAATGCTATGAAGAGACTTGCTCGAAGGAGGAGGCCCGAGAAATCTTCAAATCTCAAGAGAAAACTGTGAGCGCATCAGGAGCCTGTCGACTTATAAATTCTAATAATTAGATGGCTTGCAGTATATCTCTATGCATTCATTAGGAACTGCCGTTGCCAAGAAACATTGTTATTTCTATGTTACGATACCTAGCCACAAAAGAAGTGACACAGGTTAAAGTACTCTTTAACATGCGGTATTTGGAATGGTAACAAGTGGCGGTAATGTCCAGGGATTTTGAGAACAGAGTTTTCTCTGTATTGCTCCTGTATCATAATACATTCTATCTCCACATGCTTATAGCATAAACAGCCTTGTATTTGTCCAATGTTAAATGTGTGTTCTTTAAGGGACACTATAGTCCCCAGAACAACTACAGCTTATTGCATTTGTTCTGGTGAGTAGAATCATTATCGTCAGCCTTTTTGCTGTAATCACTGTCTTTTCAGAGAAAATGCAGTGTTAACATTACAGCCTAGTGATAACTTCACTGGCCACTCCTTGGATGGCTGTTAGAGATCCTTCCTGGGTCATGGCTGCCTAAAATGCATCCAAACATTCAGTATCTCCTCCCTCTGCATGCAGACACTGAACTTTCCTCATAGAGATTAATTGATTCAATTCATCTCTATGAGGAGATGCTGATTGGCCAGGGCTGTGTTTGAATCATGCTGGCTCTGCCCCTGATCTGCCTCTTTGCCAGTCTCAGCCAATCCTATGGGGAAGCACTGTGATTGGATTAGGCTACCACTTCTGATAATCTCAGCAGGCAGTGGGCAGGTCAAAGGGAAACAGGGACAAAGCATGCAGCTCCAGACTTGAATACAAGTAATATTGTACTATATTTATGGAGGCATGAGGGGCCCACGGGGACTAGATGGTGGTTTTAACCCTATAGGGTCAGGAATACATGTTTGTGTTCCTGACCCTATAGTGCTCCTTTAATGGAATTAATTGTTCATAATAAGTGCAATAATTATTACGTAGACTTTAGTCATTAGGCTAATTGGCCAATAATATTGGGAGGTATTGGACCAAGATGGGGGTTATCTTATACCACTAGTGATGCCTAAAAAGACAGACTGGTCTAAACATGGGCAAGTCAGTCTGATATGAATCAATGCTAAGCTGACTGCATGGAACATATGGAAATGTAGTTATATAGGTAATTCGATTTTATATTCATTTTAATGTATGGATAGAACATAGTTACCTCTATTAATATATCTATCTATTTTTATGCACGGACCTGGATTTTTGTGCCTTTGTATTGCCAGAAAATATAAATCTAATTTATGTAATCTTTTTTTTTTAATATATATATCTCTCATTCCTCTGCAGACAGAGTTTTGGTATCACTATAAAGGTGAGTAACACATAGCATCTGCACAGATTAACAAAAAAAAAAAAAAAACTCTTAAAATCATCTCTAATTTAATAACTGGTCCAATGACCAAATGGCTAAATAATCAGTGGTGTATCCTGGTTTTGTGCTGCCCTAGGCAGGACAAAACGCAGGCGCCCCCTCCCTCCCCCCGCGCCAACCCCCCCCGCCTTCTAAATACACACACACATTCACTGACAGATACGCATACACTCGCTAACAGAAACACACACACACACTAACAGACACACTCACACTCACTAACAGACACACACTCACTAACACACACTCACAGGCAAACACACTCACACAGTCAGACACACACACACTCACTGACACACTAACAGACAAACATAGTCAGACACACACACTAACAGACACACTCACTCACTAGCAGACACACACACACTAACAAACACACACACATTAACAGACACACACACACACAGGCAAACACACACTCACTGACACACAGTCAGACACACACACATACACACTAACAGACACAGTCAGACACACACTAACAAAACACACACACATTAACAGACACACACTCACTCACTCACTCACATTAACACATTTTTTTATTTATTTTTATTTAGCCCCCCCCCCCCTTACCTTACCTTACCTTACCTTACCTTTGGGAGTGCTGGGGGGGAGGGGTTCATTACCTCCCTGGTGGTCCAGTGGATGCCGGCTGGGCTAGGCAGGCGGCTGGCGAGGGAGCTCTTCCCCTGAGCGGTCTGCTCAGCTCCCTCGCGCGCCACAAAGTAAGGCTGGGAGCCAGAAGATGACGTCATCTTCCGATTCCCAGCCTCACTCTGCGGCGCGCGAGGGAGCTGAGCGGACCGCTCAGGGGAAGAGCTCCCTCGCCAGCCGCCTGCCTAGCGCCGCCCGCCAGCCCAGCCGGTCAGTTAGCCGCGAGGCTAACAAAGCATTTGCCTGGGCATTAGGGGGGCGGCGTTTTTTGCCGCCCCCTGAAAAATGCCGCCCAAGGCAAATGCCTTGTTTGCCTCGCGGCTAAAACGCCCCTGTAAATAATGGAATACTGCTATGTCACACACTCTCTTATACCACACCTGCCATGCAGCTTATAAGCCAGTCCGCCACTAATAGCTGGCATCAGTCACTCTGTATTCATTCTTCCCAGCACTGTGATTTCTATTAGGAATAAAACCATGCAGCGTGTGCATGATCAGGAGTTCAAAGTGAACTTAAAGTGACTTTTCAATTTCACTCCCAAATAATCTAACTGAAAACATAGCTGTCTAAGAATGTTTCCGTTATTTCTATTTTAGCCCAAAAATGTAATTCTCTTTCAATTCCCAAAAATTCAACTCTGGCTTATTTATATGTGTAGTTTATTGCTGTGTACAAATGGCTATTATATTTCTATTTGTACTGGTAACTGCTTTGTCAATCAATACCTATGCATGTACCAGAATTGTACATAGATGTTTTAGAACTCTTTTTATTTTTCAGACCTCAGTCCGTGTAAGCTGAACCCGTGTGAGAATGGAGGCATCTGCCAGCAGTACCATTACATGTACACCTGTCTATGTCCTCCACGTTTTATGGGACGACACTGCGAAAATGGTGAGACTTGTAGCGAGTTAGAGCGGGGATAACATTCCGTGAGAGTATCAGCGACACACTAACCAAAAGTAACCGAGAACATTATTGATAACTGCATGATTCCCAAGTTGATACTGCATGTAGTTTTCTAAAGAATAATAGGGACACTTGCAACAGAAGTTACATTTATTTTTTTATTACTATTTTTAAACATTTCCGGTCTGTTAAAGTGCATTATTTGTTGTGGTTTATTTATTTGTCCATATGTATAAGCCTCTCTTTTTGTTTAAAGAGTTCTTTAACTGAAGTCAATGGTTGATGTCAGAAATTCTGTTACAGCAGGTTACTAACCATGACAAACATCATTGTTTCTAACATACACTTTCATAAGCACACCAACAGATTAGATTTTTTTTGGGGGGGGTGGTGGGAGTTTGCAGCAAATCCTGGTAGAGTGTGTCTCAACCCTTCCAGATACCAGCTTCTGCTGAATATGATCCTAACTACTATGCTACTAGCTTAGTAAATTCACCCAACAAAGTAAAGTACTGAAGAAATCTGAACTGCAAAGTGAGACACACAGAGACCTTAACTATATACAGAACAATTGGTTTAAAACATCTGATCATAAATCAAATAAGATACCCAGAAAAATCTGTAGGTACAGTACAACATTTTTAAAGGGACACTATAGTCACCTGAACCACTACAGCTTAATGCAGTGGTTCTGGTGTCTATATCCTGTGGCCGTATTCTTTTCAATGTAAATTCTGCATTTTCAGAGAAAAAGCAGTGCTTACATTGCTGCCTAGAAGCACCTCTAGTGACAGTCACTCAGATGACCACTACAGGTGCTTCCTGTGTCATTGCAGCATAGTGTGCAGCACCTACGTTCAGTATCTTCACGCTTTGCATGGAGGCTAAACGTTCCATGTAGAGATGCATTGATTCAATGCATCTCTATTAAGATGTGAAAGCATTAGATTGACTGAGATCATCAAGATTGATCATGGAGGCGGGGTCATCAAGACTGGTGCGGCTAGGAAGAAAAGATGAGTAAAATCACCTTTTCAATACGATCTGAGAGGGACTGATCACCTAAACAGGTTAAAATAGTGTTAGGAATGTTTGTATCCCTAACACTATAGTGTTCCTTTAAGATAGCTGATTATATAGCATGAGAAATGCAGAGGTATCAGTATGGAGAGAATGACATCATATGTGATGATATACAGAGACAAGACACTCTGGATCAGTAGTTCTCAAGCCAGTTTAGAAAGCAAAATTAGGAAATGTCTAAGTGCTGGACTGCTGGTGTGATCTGATCTGAGAACTGCGTTGTGAATCAGTGGCCGATAGTGTCATTACATATTCTGACAGAGAGAGCCAAGCGTTCCGAACAAATGAAAAATCACACAATTGGATTTATCTACACATACAAATGAGAAACAAAGGCCTAGACACACAGAGATCTAATTGGGTATAGATTGATACATTCTGAAAGGTAACAAGATGGAAAAAGCAGGTGATCAGATGCAGAGACAGTGGATGGACAAAGGCAACAGTAAACTGTGAAAACTGGTTGGGGGCTCAAAAACTGAGGTTAATCCGCAATTGACAATAAAGTTGCCCTGGTGGTATCACATTGATTGTTTTCATCCAGGAAACAGAATATATCACATTAGCATTGCAAAAATACATAATCTTCATGTTTTCTTTATTTTGTAGTGCGCCACGAGTGCTGGTATAAGAATGGGGGCTGCTGGCAGTACTGTACAGACACACCTCGATCAATGAGCGTGACCTGCTCGTGTGCCCATGGATACTCCCTAAATACAGATGGGAAGAGCTGTGAGAAGTCCGGTAGGTAGAGGGCGCTAGATGCTATTTCCAACATCTGGCTGTGGCCCTACTCCTTCAGCATGTAAAGTGTTACTCCAATCGTTTAAAAAAACACTGGTTTTGGTTAGACTAACTTTTTCTGAGGTGGTTTGCACTCCTCCTAAACTTAATTTTTTATTTTTTTTTAAATGCTCTGTTCCATTGCTCAGTCCAAGTTCTCCTTTTAGTTCGATCCTCCTTGGCTGACTTCAGTGCCCCTTGCCAGAGGGTCAGAGAGGAGGGACTGAGAGAAGGACATGGATGGCATGGAGTGGTGGAGTACATGTTGCCATTGGCTGTCTGTCACCAGCATGTTGTACGTGTTGGCATCAAATGCAGTTTTGCACAGAATTGACATTAGCTAATCAGGAACAGTATTCTGGGCTGGGTAATGATTCTGCTGGAGGTGGAGTTTCATCCCAGGCAGCTAAGAGGCTAATCTCTGTATGTGCAGCGTTTCAAAGTGAAATGCGGCCCATACAAACTCCAAGCACCATGACAACTTCAAATTTTTTATTTTGATTCTGGTGCTTGGCATGCTTAAAAACTATCATAAAAACTGTGCCAGTGAATGCTCATTTCTCCTCAGACTTATAATACAAACCACATCAGCCCATTAGATGAAGATTTGTGTCCATCATGCCAACAGGAAAACAATGGTTAAAATCAAATGTTTAATTATAAAAATTTACACAACAAATTTAAAATGTACCCTGCATGGTACACACAATTAAGTTGATATTCAAAAAATATAGTGCAGGATTCATGAATGAACTCTAGCTTTTGCTTACCTGTAGGATTTTTAGTTGAATAATCTACGCATCTGACCAAAGAAGACTTCAAGATAGCTACCCTCACAGAGCAAGGGTGAGCAAGGAGATGTACTAAAAAGAGGTACTGGCTTAAAGGGACACCATAGGTACCAAGACCACTTAAGCTCATTGAAGTGGTCTAAACTGCAGGCTGCTTAACCCAGCAATTGTTATTATTGCAGTTTTTGATAAACTTCAATAACTACATAAGAGGGTTAACTCTACCTCTAGTGGATGTCTACCAGAGAGCCACCAGAGGGACCTCCATTTTTAAAGGATTACTATAGTGTCAGGAAAACTAAGCAGTGCCCCCACCCTCAGGGTCCCCCTCCTGCTGGGCTGAAGGGGTTAAAATCTCTTCAGCAGCTTACCTTTTTCCAGCGCCGACGTCAGCTCCCTCTGCCAACGTCAGCGGAGCTGAATGCGCATGCGCTGCATTCAAGCTGTCAATGGGAAAACATTTCTCAATGCTTTCCTATGGACGCTCTGCGTGATGAAGGCATAATTTGCCTCCAGCGTTGCAGATGCGCCTTTAGTGGCTGTCCGGAAGTCAGCCACTAGAGGCTGTCTTAACCCTGCAATGTAAACATAGCAGTTTTTCTGAAACTGCTCTGTTTGCATCTGCAGGGTTAAAACCTGAGGGACCTGGCACCCAGACCACTTCATTGAGCGGAAGTGGTCTGGGTGCCTATAGTGTCCCTTTAATGTTCACATGATTAAATGGTCTGTCTTTTTCCAGCTAGATTCCCATGTGGGCTGACAATCAGCTCATCACGTTCTCTGGGAGACCCTGACCTGGAGGAAGAAGACGATACACACTATTCTCATCCTGAACCACTAACGACAGAGCCTTCTCTCCTCAACATATCTGATGGAATTTTTGATGATATTTCACATCAGAGAAACGTTAATGAGACAACACAGACACCCAACAGAAATGAGACTGTTTGGGGACATAGAGTGAATGAGACTGGAGTGAATAGCATAAAGAATGACAGTGTTTGGATGGGCCTTGGCAACAATTCTTCTGAAGGCGAGAGCAAAAATGAGACTGTTCACAAACAGCATAATAACACAGCTAAAACAGAGCTTGGCAGAAAGGTTTCTTGGAAACACAAGGTAAATACCAGACCTCAGACAAAAAACAGACGTAAGCTTGTTAACTCTACAAACAACATCAGCGAGGAAATAACTCTGCCAGAAGACAATGTAGACGTTCTTCCAGAAGCAAAAGATGGCTCCACATCTGAAGATTCTCGCATTGTTGGCGGAATACGGTGTGAACTTGGGCACTGTCCCTGGCAGGTCAGTCACAGTGCACTCCTTATATGAAATAATAAATTTTCATTAAACGGTAATCTCAAAATTGTATGTATATTTCTGCAGACCCTGTCTTGTAGAGCTAGCATATTTAAGGTCTATCAATTTATCTTCAGAATTACCAATATGGATACCGCACTCTCTTGGATCCCAGGGTGCAACCGGGCCTGAGGTTGGCCAATGCTCACAATGTGATTTGCAAAAAATTAATGATGGACCAGCCACTCAAGTTCAATCCAGTGGGCAGATTTATTGGAGCAGAATCAAAACAATGTTTAGACTCGCAACACAAATACCTTAACAGGCAATCATTTCTCTCTGAATTTTGTTTGAATAATCATAAATAGTCAAGTTGAGCAAAGTTCTCTATAAAAAAAAAAGAGATCCCTACAATTTCACAGTAGCAGAGAAGGCTATTGTAGAAAGAGGATAGTCTGGGGATTTGCTACAAACAAAATAAAAAAGAGCAATTAAAGGTTTTATTAATTTGTTTGTTGTTGCATATGTTTTTTATGTTTGTCTCCATTATTTTTAAAGAGGTAAATTGAGTTTCCTTCAAACTTTCACAAAAATATAGATAAAGCTGTCCATCTTTTTTTCTTGTATTTTTGTATTCAATCTTTTATCTAGGTTATGATCCGGACTTCTCGGGGATATGACATCTGCAGTGGAAGCCTGATCAGTAGCCGCTGGGTACTGTCTGCTGCACATTGCTTTGAGGCTATTAATCCACATCATGTGACTGTTGGTGAGTTATAACTTCTTAACATGCCAACAATGAGTGTTCACTATGTATGAATTATTTTTAATTTTTATTTTTAGAATTCTTTATTTTTGATGTGCAGAGTAACAAACAATCTTGTATGGACAATGCTCAATATTATGCATGACAATGAAAAGCTGTAGGTGTAACATGAGATGTTATGAGTACTGCACATTTTGTTTTATAAGAGATAGGAAAAACATCAAATGCATAACTCTATTGATTGAAGGAGAGAGAGAAGTCAAAATGTTATAGAATAGAACTGTGGGTAGTTTCAATAAGTAAATACCACTGGGCTGCCAGAGGAAACCAATGCAGGGGATCACTTAGGGCATAACAGCAGAATTAGTAGAAATAAATCATGAGTAATGCAGTGCCAAGGTATGGTACTGGCATTGTGCCCGTGAGAATAAACATGTTTGAAACAGAAGTAAAGTGCCATTAGGAGCCACCAATTGATCAATACATCACATAAATCAGAGAATCCCTCATAGCTGCAGTCCTTTCGTGGAGCCGTTTAGTCGATGCCCGTGGATGGGAGGAAACTATCATTTAGGATCAAGAGTCCACAGGGTCGTGGAGGAGCTCCCCCACAGATCTGAAGGCGGATGCGTTTCTGTTTTATGCCCCTGTGGGTCTGGCAGTGCTCAGCCTCATTAGCAGGGTCCCAGGGCCACCTAAAAGCACGCAGTAAGCCTTGCAGAGCAGGAGTCCTCTGATATCGCAGAGTGGTGGTGGGATTTAGTGGTTGGCTTACTGTGAGGCTGTTTGGACAGTGTAGACCACCGGTCTCTCCGCCGCTCAATCAGTGCAGCTTGTGTGCACTCATGGATACTCCTCCAAAAGTTCTGGAAGATGGCTTTTAGGTGAAGAAGGGTATTTGCAAGAGAGCTGCTGTGAGTATCTTGGGATGGGCATGTGCCCTGCTCGATCCTCATTAGGCAAGTTGCTATCTTAAAAACAGAGCCCCGCGATATGTCCTAGGCCTCAGCATGACGCAATGTGAAGAGTAAGTGGTCCCCTACAGCACAGTGAGACCGGGATAACCCCCGCCAGTCCAGAGAGGGGGTGTAAGAGCACTGCCAGAGTAAGCTGGCAAACTGGAGCACAAGGAGATCAGAGGCCTCTCCCCAGCTCCTGCTGTAGTAGGTCGCAGCAGGGCGCACTGCGTCTACAGCAGAATGCAGTCTCGAGTAAAGTATCTATTTGTTCAGACCTGCCCCCCAACTTGAGGGGCATCTGTGAGTGGGTTGTGTAGCTTTATAGTTGGGGTTTTTGCCCCAACTTCAGCTCAAGATTTGGGAGCTCAGGCACCACACGTCTGCTCTGCATTACAGCTAGGCTCTGCCCCCCTGCCCACTGTATAAAAAAATTTAATAACAAAGATTGATTTCTAAATTAGGATTTCTAAAAATAACAATTTCAACACAAAATATTGCAAAATAACTAATTTGCAATTCCCTATATACTATAAACAAACGTGACAAATAAACCAGTTCTAACTGTTATACAAATATTACAAAATTTTACAAAAAAGATTTAGGAATACACGTTTGTATTCCTAACACTGTATTGTCCTGCTTCCTATTATGATGCCCCCCTGCGAGAGTTTGAAGGATGAGCATTACATACCTTACAGCAATTGACGCGCCGGACTCCACATTTAACCTCTGCCTCTTTTCCATTGGTAAAAATTGATAGGCTAGGGCAAATGCATTGTGCCAATCAAACGGCCTCGAATAAATTATCTGATTGAAATAGCCGAGTGTTGTTTGGCTATTGGGGCAGAAGCACCTCTTTTCAATTCTGCTTTAAATTTTGCTATTTTGGCCTTAAATTTGAAATTTACTGGCATTCCTGGCAGTTCTCATTTGCGTAAGTAACCCTGTAGGTGAATAAACTGTAGGGTACTTCCTTCTTTAGAAGTGTCACCTACTCCTTTATTGCGTGTGACTCTGAGTTTAGGACAATGTACTAAAGTGCTGCGGAATAAGTTGGCCCTATATAAAGCTGTTAATAATACTAATAATATGTCTCCCTTGTTTATTTGGGTGATGTAGAGTATAGAGACACGTGGATGTTTTTATTTTTTAATAATCAGTTATCTTATACACTTTATTTAGTTTTCTGAGACCCAAGACAGAGCTCTGAATTATTCTGCTTATCATTTTCAAATAATTTCAGAATTTTTCTTTATCAACAAAAATGTTTTCAGTGAAAGCTATCTCTTTGAATTTATCATTCCGTGCAGAACTCTAATGAATATTACAGTTTCACTCCAATGTCTTGGTCTATATTTTACTTACATTGTATAGGTTCCAAAATGAAATTGTGGTGTAACCAAGGCGTTAGAGGATGTAAAACCAATTGATTTTTCTCTTCTATCCAAGGCGATTATGACAAGATTCGCCGCGACCTAGAGGAGCAGAAAATTGGTGTATTGAACTTTTATTCCCATCCGAATTACTACGCAGAACACTATGACCATGATATTGCATTACTGTATTTGCGCAGTCCAGTGATCTTCAGTGACCATGCTCAACCAATCTGCTTGCCAACTGCTGGCTTGGGACGACTGCTAACTCAAGAGGGTGGGATAGGGCAAGTAAGTGGCTGGGGAGCCACAAGGTACTTGGGTCCCAAAAGTCGTTTCTTAATGAGGGTACGACTACCTATTGTCAGTCAGGAAGATTGTATTGCTTCCACGAAAAAGGTCTTGACTGGAAATATGTTCTGTGCCGGATACCATAGTGAAGAGAAAGATGCCTGCCAAGGAGATAGTGGAGGTCCCTTTGCCGTGTCTTACCACAACACCTGGTACCTGATTGGAGTGGTGAGTTGGGGCGAAGGATGTGCAGCAGATGGAAAATATGGCGTGTTCACTAGAGTGTCCAGTTATATCCCTTGGATCAAAGACACTATAATAGAAAATGATGGAATAGAGGACTCACTTGTCAATACATTATGAGAAAAGTAACAATCTAGGTTGTTACAGGAGAATCTGGGATTCTATCAATGGAACTCGATAGTCAACCTTTATCTAACACATTCTTAGTGACCTGCAACTAGTGAAACTTTTACTCTGACAATGATGTTTACTCCGTTTGAAGGCTTGACTTAATGTGGGAAATTGAGGTTTATGCATGTTTAGTATAAAGGATTGTGGGATAAGTACAATCTCCAGAAAAAGAAGCCGAAAACAAGCACCGGGGATTTAATTTGTGTGCAGGTAATGGTAATGTGGGGCATTCTGCTCTATGTTTTAGAAAAGCACACATTGGCAGATATTTCCAACGCTTGAACAGCATGTAGAGCTTTCCCACTACTATTTCTAATCAGTCTTCAGTGGTAAAGAAAAATGACACTACCTTGAACAGCTTAAAGGAACACTCCAAGTACCATAACCACTACAGCCCGCTGCAGTGGTCTTGGTGCCAGGAGAGCCCTGCCCCCTCCCAGGGTAAGTAGTCAAACTGAAAGTGGTTCAGCAAGTTACGTGAAGAATTCTGCTCTTTGTTTTGGAATCACACATTGGTAGAGATTTCAAGAGTTGAACAGCATGTAGAGTTTCCCCACTACTCCCCATATATTTCCAATCAGCCTTCATTAGTTGAAAAAAATATGACACTAACTTTGACAGCTTAAAGGAACACTCCAAGTGCTATAACCACTACTGCCCACTGTAGTGGTTATGGTGCCATGAGTGCCATGGCACCCTCCCACGGTAAGTAGTCAAACCGAGAATGGTTCAACATCTTATCTGGTGTTTGCTGGGTGCCGACCGCTTCCTCCTGCGCCCCTGGAAGCTCTTGCATTAAGATAAGCATGACGGTGCATAGTTTAGATCAGGGATGCCCAAAAGGTAGATCCCCAGATGTTTTAAATCTACAGCTTGCATGATGCTTTGTCATTCTAAAGGCATGCAAAGGCATCTAAAGCATCATGGGAGTTGTAGTTCTACAACATCTGGGAATCAACCTTTTGGGCACCCCTGATTTAGATCATTGGCTGAGAACATTCAGCTGCATGGCAAGGCTTCACTCGGTAGATCTTCCATGGGCTTATTCACTATATGGTGAATCAAAAGCCAAATTTATCCACTATGGCAATGTTGTTGATCATTACAGAACATTCATTTACATTACACATGATGAGTGTCATAGGCCCATAGGTCCCTCCCTGTCAGGAACAACAAAATCTTTTATTCCATATATTACATACCAGGCCATACCTGTGAGGCATTGTGAGGGGATCCAGATTTCCTTGCAATAACTATCTCTTCATAGTTTTTTTGTGACTGTAAACACTTATTTTATAAAGTATAACTATTTACTAGTCTATGGGTTTATGTTTATGTGATTCACCAATGTGCCTTTGATAATTCTGAAACTTCAATTAACTTTTTTTTTTTCCAATCAAGTAATTTGACTATAATATGAACTTCACTTTGCATTTGAATCAATGCTTTCCTATGGGGTTTCTTTGTCACGTGACCGAGTTTTTACGTGGCCTGTGCCATGGAAACGCCTCTAGTGGCTGTCAGTTTGACAGTATGACAGCCACTAGAGGAGGAGTTAACACTGCAATGTAAACATTACTGTTTCTCAAAAACTGTAATGTTTTACATTGCGGGGTTAAAGGACCACTATAGTGCCAGGAAAACATACTCGTTTTCCTGGCACTATAGTGCCCTGAGGGTGCCCCCACCCTCAGGGACCCCCTCCCGCCTGGCTCTGGGGAAAGGAAGGGCTTAAAACTTACCTTTTTTCCAGCGCCGCGCGCATTCAGCCGGTCTCATAGGAAAGCATTCATAATGCTTTCCTATGGACGCTTGCGTGTTTTCACTGTGATTTTCACAGTGAGAAGCACGCAAGCGCCTCTAGCGGCTGTCAATGAGACAGCCACTAGAGGATTTGGGAGAAGGCTTAACCCATTCATAAACATAGCAGTTTCTCTGAAACTGCTATGTTTATTTAAAAAAGGGTTAACCCTAGCTGGACCAGGCACCCAGACCACTTCATTAAGCAGACCAGTTCAGTGTAATGAAGTGCTCTGGCTGCCTATTAGCCCAAGACAAGATTATGATGGTTCTTCCCAAATTCCACCTTTTAACAGCTGTAAGATCCTAATCTTAATGTTAGTTTTGACTCAAGGCCCCTACTTCCTCTCCCAGAGATCACATGCAGCCACCACCAACTATGCAAACTCACCTTTCTTCCCATGATTAAACATTTCTTGCCAAATTCCATCATGATTTCACATGGCATTATTTTCTATATTACAGAGCTCCTGATATGTTTTATAATATTCCATCCAATATATCGTTACCCCATATTCCTGTCCCATGATTCTACGTGGCATTTTATTCCACATATGCATATTCCACATTGCATATTTCATTCTATGATCTCATGCAGCATGTCATTTTGTATGGCACGTAAAGGTGTGAATAAAGTGCTGTAATTTGATTATGCTTGTGGGTGCAGGGATGTTGAACCGGTGAATGTGTGTGGAGATGCAGATGTGTATTTCTGTGACACATGTGAGAATATAGAGGTATGTACAGTATGTATTGGGGGTATTTGTGTGATACACAGGGGTATATCGTATGGCAAATGTGTTAATGTAGAGTGCATAAATTTGAAATATCTGTATGTGCTGTACGAGTCTGAGTGCATTATATTTATTTTTCCTTCTGTGATCTCTCTACTCCTTACACAGTTGTATAGCGCTACCTATCATTTTCTCTATTTATGCTTCTATGCATTTGTTTAGGCTCTCCCTAAATTAAACTCACTGTGCCTAGATGGATATCATCTACACCTCACTGATGAGGCCCAAGGAAGGCCATACCGATCGTCCGGGGATGCTACATCTCTCGTGCAGAGGGAAGTTGCCGACATTTCGGATAGTATAGGTTCTCTCTGTAATGGTACAAGTAAGCAAATTCTATTTTGAGACCTGAGCAGGGATTTACTGAAGGGCAAGCTACGAAGTTTCTCTAATCTTTTGCCCATTGTCAGAGTTCTCATATTCTTTGTTTTTATAGCTCTCCTTATCTCCCACTTATTGAGGACACTAAATTCATGTTAATGAGTGATCATGCGGCTTTTCCAAAAGGTACAAAAATGCATTCAGACTTTTACAGACAACACACACAGAAATAGAAGCAACAAGTGAGCAGCTGTGTGTCCACCTAATTACATCTTGCTGCCACCATCTTGTGCTAGAGAATAGAACTGGTTATTTGAAGGGATTTCTTAGACGCCTCCTCCCTTGTGGCTGGGTCAGGCTCTGCCCACTCTCCTCCTTTGCTAACGCCAGCCGGCGGGGGAGAGCTAATGCGCATGCGCAGCAATGGCTGCGCTCGCTGTAGGATTATTATTTAATGCTTTCCTATGGGGAAAAATCTGACGCTGGAGGTCCTCATGCAGCCTTACGACACTACGGTGAAAGTGACTTGAGCCTGTCCTGTTTGAGGCTCTACTCCATGTGAGTTTGACCATTGTTATAACATCAAAAAATCCCCATTATTCACAGATTTACACTATATTGTGTTGTATTGTGTTTTCTTTACTTCTATGTATCAACATACATCTGAGATTTAACCCTAAATTAGGGTAAGTGAAAATATATAGCGCTTCACTCATTTGACTAGTAAGGTCTGGATTTATAACCAGAAGGGAACCCGATGAGAGGTCAAACGCATTACCTGCACTGGAAATTAAATGTTTAAATGTTATTGGCACATCTAATTACCTTACACCTTTAGCAATGACACAGGAATGTTAAACCCCTGCGTTAAAGGAGCATCTAGGTACCATAACCACTGCAATGTACTGTAGTGGTTATAGCGACAGAGGTCCCCATGCGCCATCCTGTGGTAAGTAGTCTAACATTTTTCTCTGTGAAAAAAGTTTCACACTTACATGGATCCCCCCAGTGCCTCTGGTCCAGCCTGTATTTTTAAATTATCTGTAGCTGTCCAGGGCACCTTGGGTTCAGCTCCTATTTCCGAGATATCTAGAGCTGAAGTACCCCTTCCATGATAGATCTATACATTTTGGCCATATTTGAACAAGTGAATTGATGTCACTGATGCAGTCACTAGGCAGATAAGTCATAAAATATTCAAATCAAACAGTTTGACACGTACTGGATTCCTAGGCAACAGCATTGTTCATATATGGGAGGAAATTATGTAATTGATGATAAGAAATGGAGGCTGGACTGGAGGCACTCAGGTGATCTCTGTAAGAGTCACACTTACAACAACCCCATCTGGCAGCCTAACTGCAAGTGCTCTGGTTGTCACCGCCAAGGACTCCCATTCACCCTTAGTGAATAGCTCTGAAGTGATTATAGTCCTTTAAAGGGGAGGTGGTGGTTAGGAGCCATGTACAAGTCCTAGGTGACTGGGTGGTCTGTCACATTGCTCCCCCCTTGTACTCTTCTCTGGCAGAAGCTGCTTGACTCTTTTGGGTCAACTTGGATATGTTCGGGTGTACAGTCTTTCCGGACTGCCTCAGAGATGTGTTATGGGGGTTGCCCCAGGGATGTCTACGTACCGCTAACGCAGTGTACCCTGGCTCCTTGGAGAAGGTTGTTCACTTGGCCTCTGTCTAACCTGCTCCTTTTCCTGGAGACTCAGTCCTTCCCCTAAGCGCACTTGATCTAAGGTCCCTGCCTGCACTTCTATCCCTAGATCATCAGGTAGGGGCAAGCTCTCCAGGTCGTCCGAAACATATCATGGCCACCTCTTCATCCCTTTCCCCGTACTCTTTCAGCATGTTCACGTGGAAGGTATGCATCACCTTGTGATTGGCACAGCTAGCCAGTACTTGGGGAGTGTCGCAGACCTGTTCCATCACATTGTAGGTCCCCTGCAAGACAGCTTGTGGTGGTGGACCAGCTTTAAAACCAAAACCTTTTGCCCAACCCAAACCGTATTGGTCAACTACCTCAGGTGGTTCCTTAGCTCCAGCACATAGGGTATAATCGTAGTCCCTTCTATCCCGGTCTACTTTTCCCAGTTTTCCCTGATGAGATCAAGAGGGCCCCTCACCCATCAACCTTACAGCAACTCTAACGGAGAGAACCCCGTGGATTCCTGCTACACCACCCAGTAGGTGAACAGGAGGTGTGGCAGAAATCTCTCCCAGTCCCTGCAAGTGGTAGTGAATGTCCGAAGCATGTACTCTAGTTTCCTATTAAACTGCTCATAGATGCTGTTCATCTGGGGAAGGTGCAGGGAGCTCTGGATGGATTTGAACATGCAGAGTTGGTGTGTGTGACCTCAGCGGTGAACTGGGTGCCCTGATCCAATATGATCTGCCGAGGAAACCCCACTTGGGAAAATACTCGCATCAGCTCTGGCTTCCATGACCACCTCTGGGTACCGGGTAGTATAGTAGACTATGCCTCGTTAGGGGCATACATCACAAGTTTGGCAGTATTGCCGAACATCCCGGGAGACCCCAGGCCAAAAGAAGTTCTAGGTTACCCAGTGTAAATTTCCGCAAATGCCAAGATGTCCTGCCAGGGGGATATCATTGCCCATATGCAGGAGCTCCAGTTGGTATTTCCAAGGGATTACCAGCTGTCATTTCAGCGCTGGGCCTGCACCTCTAGTCTGGATCTCTGTCAACCTGTACAGTAGTTCCTACTTCCATATGAACTTCTCTCCCTCTAGCCCACTCTGATCAGTCTCTGCGAGGGAACTGTATTTCTGTAAGGTAGGTCTCCTGCTACCTCCCTCTTAAACTCGTGTGGGCTATCCCATGCTATTTGAGCCATCTCTACTGTTGGGATAGGGGTACCTCGGTCTTCTCCAAACCTGCAGGCAAGTGGTAACGCGGTGGGCTTCTGCTGTAGCTGGTGAGAAGAAGGCTGAGATGAGGGGTCCCTGGCCGTTCACGAGAAGGATCTCGGCTGGCAAGTCCTTCATAATCCCAACGTCCATAGTGCTGAATCCTGTTTGCCAATCTAGGTGTACATGGGTGGTGGATAGACAGTACACTGCTCCCGGCTACCCAAACCACTACGGCTTTCACAGTTCTTTCTGTATCTTCAGAGCGCCTCCTGTGTTCCTCTGCTCATTGAAGTGGTCTGGGTGCAATCTCCCATCAGCCTTATAGGGACACTATAGTCACCAGAACAACTACAGCTTATTGCATATGTTCTGGTGAGTAGAATCATTACATTCAGGCTTTTTGCTGTAAACACTCTCTTTTCATAGAAAATGCAGTGTTTACATTACAGCCTAGTGATAACTTCACTGGCCACTCCTCAGATGGCTGTTAGAGATCCTTCCTGGGTCATGGCTGCCTAAAATGCATCCAAAAATTCAGTGTCTCCACCCTCTGCATGCAGACACTGAACTTTCCTCATAGAGATTCATTTCATCTCTTTAAGGAGATGCTGATTGGCCAGGGCTGTGTTTGAATCACGCTGGCTCTGCCCCTGATCTGCCTCTTTGTCAGTCTCAGCCAATCCTATGGGGAAGCACTGTGATTGGATCAGGCTACCACTTCTGATGATGTCAGCACACTGCTTGTTTTTCTGAGTCTAACAGCATGCAGAGTTACAGCTTCAAGCTTGAATACAGTAAGATTTTTACTATATTTATGGAGGCATGAACGGCCCAGGTGGGCTAGATGGTGTATTCCTGACCCTATAGTGTTAAAACCATGTTTGTGTTCCTGACCCTATAGTGATCCTTTAACCCTGAACATGTAATTATTAGATATGTGCAATTCGTTTCGGTCTGGATGCGAATTCTAACGAATTTTGGGCAATTCGGATACTCGGGTACTTCCGAATGTCCGAATAGATGAATTGCTGAATAGTCGAAGTCCCGACGTTCCGTAGTGTCGAAGTTCCGAAGCACAGTATTGCCTAAGAACTAATATACTTACCCAGTGGAAGAATGAAGAATGTTACACTGTATACAATTTTAAATAAAAAGTATACAAACATAGCCAGGATTCAGCTGTAAGCATTTGCAACACTTACAACAATCAAGTAACATACATTCATATAAAATGTAACTTACTTAGCCAGTCAATGTAATGACAGGAATGAATAAGTAGATAGCTCCCTAATACCGTGGGAATTAGGGAGTTATCTACTAAAAAGCTGAAAGACCTATATTGGTCTTTCAGCCAAATTTACTAATACTAAGTAAAGATTACTTAGTATTAGTAAATTATGCCGCTATACTGCAAGTAGGGGCATGTCAATTAAACGGTGAGCCTGGGGCTGCTTGAATAAAATTTTTTAAAAAAACCTATTGCCCCCCCCGCCCCGGAATGGCGGGTGGGGGCCCTACAGTAAAATAATGGGGGGGACCTAATGTCCTCCCCCCTGAGCGGTGGGTGGGGGCCCTAAATACTAATAAGAGGTGGGACCTAATGTCCTCCCCCCTGGCCCCCACCCCTGAGCGGTGGGTGAGGGCCCTAAATACTAATAAGGGGTGGGACCTAATGTCCTCCCCCCTGAGCGGTGGGTGAGGGCCCTAAATACTAATAAGGGGGGGGACCTAATGTCCTCCCCCCTGAGCGGTGGGTGGGGGCCCTAAATTAGAATAAGGGGGGAACCTAATGTCCTCCCCCCTGAGCGGTGGGTGGGGCCCTAAATTAGAATAAGGTGGGGGGACCTAATGTCCTCCCCCCTGGCCCCCACCCCTGAGCGGTGGGTGGGGGCCCTAAATAAAAATGTTACCCCCCCAGGTGTCTAGGGGTCCCCCAAACCCCTAGTCAACCCCCTCCCAAAAAATAACTAACCCCTACCTATCCCCCTCACCCTAAAAACAATGAGGGGGGGCCATTAACTAAGTACCTGTAAAAAAATAAAACTTACCATTTGATGTTTTCTTTCTTCCAAAATCTTCCTTTTTCAGCCCCAAAAAAGACCAAAAACAAAATACATAATAACCGACGCACTTAAAAAAATAAATAAATAAAAATAATCCATCTTCACCCATGGAATATAAAGCCTTGCCCCGCCCTGCAATTAGGCTCAGAGCACTCTGATTAGTCGGTTTAAGCCATCCAATCAGAGTGCTCTGACAGGTAAATGAAGAGACTGACAGGCAAGTCTCTACATTTACCAGTCACAGCACTCTGATTGGTTGGCTTGAAATCCACCAATCAGAGTGCTCTGTGTCATTTTACACAGCGTGGGACGTCCTCATGCTATGCATTTATGCTATTAAATAATGCTTTCCTGTGGGGAATACCTAATACGAGAGCAGCCACAGCCGCACATGCGCATTAGGTCTCCCCCGCCAATGTGGAGCATGGGCGGAGCTGAGCCGCCGCCGAGGGACATTGGTGCTATCCCAGGTAAATGACAGAAGGGGTTATTAAACCCTTCTGCACCACGAAGGGAGGGGCCTTGACAGAGGGGGAAGCTAAAGTGCCAGGAAAATTAGTTTGTTTTCCTAGCACTATAGCTTCTCTTTAAGCCTCTGGCAGTCTGGCCATTCACTAGCACTAGTTGCCAGTGGTGCTGGCGATAATCCACTCTTGCTGCTTGGATGGGGTCTGCCTCGTGGTGTATCCCCCCAAAATTCTTCAGGCCCATTGTCTTTCCTCTCGTAGGTCTGGTCTGATAAGTCTCCACACAATCTGCAGCCACTTGTGGAGCCGTCAGGCAGGGCTGGTTCCAGGTCTTACTTGGTGGTTCAACAGTTATTCCACAGATGCCTCTTTTGCTTGCATCAGTAACACCGTGAGCAGGTCTTAGGTGGCTGTGCGCTGCATGACCCAGGTAGGTATTGCTTGTCCGGCCAGTGGGGCCTCCATCAGCTGATATGTCGGATGGTGTTGGCATTCAGCTTTCCTGCCATCTGCACATTCTTCGACCAACTGAGCTGCTTCCCAGACCAATGGGGAGACAGAGTTGTAAAACTGCTCCAGCAAGAGTTGCACCACATCCTCCACCGTGGTCACCTGGCACCCATTGACCCAATGCATTACAGCTCGGTGCATCTGCCAGGCCAACTTGAAGACAGAGAGAGACTCTTTATCCTTAGCTCCCAGAATCTTTGTTTTATAAGTCTCTGGGTTCAAAAAACAGGGCGCAAGAGAACAGGCAGCAGCTGAAATAGCCTGCCCTTCGGTGGGTCCCCGCTCAGTTCTCAAGCTGGTTTTAGCTCATCTTGTGCCATTACAGAGAGAACATCTCTGAAACATATCAGACTGGTCCCACCCATACGGGCAGTCCAGATCCAAAATGCCAGCAAGTTCCCAGTGCACTCTTGCGACTTGTTTTAAGTCTCTGTGTTCACAGCATATCGAGGTAGCAGTGCGTCCTTCATCTGATTATAACTCTGGAGTTCCTTATCGAAGACAGCGCGGAAAGCTTTCGTAGCCTTTCCAGACAGTTTGCCTGCCAGGATGGGTACAGATTCTTCACTGGGTACCTTGTGCAAGGTACATTGTCTCTCAAAGTTGACAAGATACCCATCGAGCTCTTCCTTCGCTTCAAAGAATATCTTAAACATAGCGAAGGGGACCTGGTACTTTTTTGGCCGGGGCTGTTGGTCATTTAGTGGGGCTACTTTAATTCGTTGGAGATCGGCAAGTCACAATTGATAGTCATTCTTGGCCTGTGCTGCAGCATCCAGGTCGGCCAAGACCTTCAGAACCACCTCTCGTGATGTGTCTAGGCCAAACAGCAACAACCTTGTCTTTACTTCCTTGTAGTACTCCTATTCCTCGAAGCCCCCAGAGCTAGCCCGATTAATTTTTATCAGTTCCCACCACAAGTATCGCCAGTGACTTGTTGCGGACACTTCCTCTTCTTACTTTCAGAAGGTCCTTCGTGGTGGTTCTCTTCAGCTGCTGAAGTGAGTGATTATAGTCCATTTAGGTTGAGGTGGTGGTTGGGAGCCACGTACAAGTCCTAGGTCACCGGGTGGTCTGTCACACCCCACAACCAATATTTTAACTAGTTATCATGTGAGGACACTAGTGGCAACACTTACTACATGTTGTGGGGGTTATGGTACCTATACTGCTGCCAAAAACACCTTTTTAAATCTGTGACACTCCTGTAGAATTTACAGACAAGCGAACAATTTAAGGCCGAGAGTACAATTTTCAGTCATATTGGGGAGCTACAGCCTCCATCCATAACAATTTGCATTCAATAAGGTGGATGGGCAATTACAGCAGCTACTCATTAATTGGTTTCTTTTGGATATCAGCAGAATGAACTTTTTTTTTTATTCTGAACAAAATAATTGATTGCACTCCAGGGACAGGATGAGAGCAGACGCCTGTAAACAGAATTCTACCAGCTCCCAAAAGCTTTACCAAACAAAGACATTAGGGTTTATTCACTTATCAACTGTAGTGAAACTGAAAAAAAAAAAATTTAAAGACAAAAAGGTAGATTTTAAAGCTGTGCTAATTTGGCTGTAGTCACAGCTGACTATTTTAAATGGAGCCATTTTGTGTCACTTCAAATTGCTTTTTTACACTGCAGGAGATTAGACTTTTCATCCACTTATTTTATAAAATCTTTTGTTTTATCTCTGTATTTTTAGGACAAGTGAAAAGGTCTTTTAAGTCTTTAGTTCTATGCATTGATCCAAAAAAGGTGTACTGTTTACAATAAAATAATTAGTAACACTATTTAATGGTTTAAATGAATAGTCTCACAACATTCTGCCTTCGGTACCCTTGAAGGGATGCGTCAGACCCCTATAGCACTTTAGTGTGTGTTTAGAGCGTGTTTTCTTTTCATTTTACAAAAAGTACATATTTGAACAGAGATTGGCACCTTTTGCAATTAACCTGGTTACATCCCTTGGCTATCAGAGACGGGTCCTGTTACTTCCTGGTTTTGTTAGCTCAGTGGAGCTCAACTCAAGAGGCAGGCAAATGCTCAGAGCACCTGTCTTGCAAAGACTGCTCATTGAGCTGCAATGGGAAGCCTGTAATTGGACAGCTACAGAAAGTTTAAGCGGGATTAGAAGGGGAGGGCTTGCAAAGGCTGCAGACAAGAGATCTGTAGCTTTTGCAATATATTCCCAAAGAAAAAAATGCATAATAAAATCCATGCATGTTTTCATTGGGGGTAGAAGTAAACAGGTATTTATTTTTACATTTTATTTGGGCAGTGGAGTATTTTCCTTAGCATATAACCCTCAGTAGACAAATAAACCAACACCTCATTGTTTTCAAGATCAAATCCTCCCAGCGAGTTTTAATGGAAAGGATAAAAACAGTCAAGCTATGTATAAAGTTATTTATCCCTATTTTCTTTTCTTTTAACCTGTATTAAGGTAATATTACAGGGCAATTCCAGAGCAAATATCTAAAAGTAGAGCAATCAAGAAATTTCTGTTAGTATATATGATTGTTATTAACCTTACTATGGTGTATTATTTACCTTCCAGTGCAGTGTAAAGTTAAGTGGCAACACTGGTAGCTAAAGCGCTAAGTGCAATCTAATAATTTTACATGACCTGATTCAATAATGTTAGAAACACTTCCCAAACAATTTATCTACAGAAGTCACCATTAAAGTCTATGGGGAGTTTTGTAGATAAATCACATGGAAAGTTTTTCTTACCGTATTGAATCATTTTGAGTTTGAAGTTTGTTAAATCAAGGCCATAGTTGAAGTGTCCAATCATAAAGTAGAACATTCACACAAGAGCTAGGCAGTTTGCACATAAGCAGATTAGGTTATAGAGAACCCTTAAAAACAAGTATTTTAGTGATTCAGGATCATAACTCTACATTATTTGATTTCTTCAACAAACAGCGAATGGTGGTGAATTATAAAAAATAAAATGTAGACTTAGGATTCAAATTCACCCCGTCACTGTGAGAACTCCTACAAGAACATAATGACTTTAAGCAAAACAATAAAGAACCCAAGTATTTCAAGCCACCTTGGGCATCCATGAGACATGTAGTTTACAGTCCTTAGAATGGCACAAATTACCTATGCCCGATCTAGAATAAACCTATTGTAAGGATCTATAAGTGAATCAGTGACGGGAATATTTCAGAATCCAGTAAGTCATCCTCCCTCTTCCACGAATCATGACCATGTTCACCTCATTTACAGTATGCATCTTAAAGAAACTTGCAATACGCAGTTAAAAAACAAAACAAGAATTTATTGTCAAAGGTCCAGACAATGAGGTACGCTGAGAATTCGATCTGTACACACAGCATTAAATACATCCCAGAAAGTAGGGCCAAAGTTCATAGTTTGGGAGTCATGAATCTTGTACTAAAGAGATGCCAGGTCTCCACAAGGGCACAGAATGCATTAAAAATATTGCAAAAGGCTCGAAAAGAGTCCAAAGAGCAACAGGACAAGGAAAATGTTCAATGGGAGCTCCATCATTACTCCAATAATCTGAGAACATCCAGAGATGCAAGTGTTACAAAGGCATCTTGTTCCCCTCTATGCTGATCTTGACGGCGTGAGCAGAGCGGCTCTTCTTCCTAATGTCTGTGAACTTTCTCATCTGTTTGTCCAGTCGGCTCACACCTTTCTTACCGTTCCCCTGGTACTATAAGAAAACAAAATGGTAGATGTTAGAGGATTAAAGGTCTAAATGGTGAGATTGTACAGAACAACAATGAATTAATCTTTCCCCCTATCTGTTAATAAAAAAAAACAAAAAAAAAACCCCAATCTCTGATTTAGAATCTAGAAACAAAAGATTACCATACGGCGACTTATTCATATACCTTACAAAGGGGTTTTTTATTCATTAAATACTGGAAAGTTGGAAACTGAAAGCCAAATTGCAAAACTTACAGTTATCACCTTTTGCCTAAATTACCATGATTTAAATTTCATTTTATATTTAGTTCGCATAATCGTATTTAAGGCACTGGGGAAACCGAAAAATTCTACTGACTAGATTTCATGACTTCCGCCTACTGAATTATACTAAATAATAAGAAATGATACGCACAATGAATTTTTTTTTTTTTTATATTACCTCTATTATTTTACTGTGTTATGGTGTATTTTTTTTTAATCAAATTCTTTGTGTGGACCATTTGTCATTATTTATTATAGTTTGTTTTACCATGACTCTGTATTGTTGCTGCATGTGTTTATAATTTAATATTTTTAAAATAAGGGATGAGAGATTTGCACTTTTAAGGATGTCATAGCGCCACCATATCTTTTTATTTTTGCTTTCTTTTAAATTATACCCCTTGTAACCAAACTACAGTGTGCACATCTAAGTTTGCATGTAGTGTTTCCAATAATTACCCCCCCCGACGGGACTTGGCTTATGAACTTAGAGCAATCAGGGACGCCCCTCGACTTAAAGCACATCAAGGGACGTACAGACGTGCATCATGCAAAGCAAAGAGACCCACGTAACTGCCACTAATCCTTAATAAAGGAAATATAACAATCTTCATGAGTTTCATTAGGAACTCAGCTCTACAGATCACATTAAAGGCTAGAAAGCCAAACCATGCCATTGATTTTTCTCAAAGGGTGATGTACTATTCTGAGGAGCCTCCATATTTGTATCAAATTATTGCATGTAAAAAGAATTGCCGAAAACCTGGATAACACGTGTGATGCTGTGTATAATTATATATGGATTTGAATTTCTGCATTTGTTGTAAAATTAACTAAAATAATTAAAAATAAAGAATTACGAAAGAAAAAAAAAAGCAGCACAATCGAGTGCCCAGTTAGTAATGTAATCTGACAGTTTTATGGTGTGCATTTTCCATCTATCACTGACTAGAACAAACAAGAAACTAAAAATAAACTACAAACTTCCTACAGAAAATGCAGTTCATGTTTTGCTAATGTCCTCCTACTCAAAGAGATATGAACAACTCTGTCACCCTACATCGGCTATTAAAAACAAGCAAAATTAAACAAAAAATAAACACACCTTTACCTAAACAGACTGAGCATATTTCTCATGCCACCAAGCAAGCATCAGAATGGAGCAGCAAATCTAGTGCACGCCCAACCATCTCTCACTTAAGCATTAAATTACTAATTCTAGTAAAAAACAAACAAAAAAAACAAACGCCCCACAAATAAAATTAAAACTCCCTTACAGAGCAAGATTGTTTCTCATGCCAGTAATGAATCAATACATTAGTATTCATTCCTCAGAGCAGCAAAACCAGAGCATACACAACAACCATGTGCATCGTTTTAGTACACACTGGAAGAGGATATGCCGAAGAATACCTCTCCCGCAGACACAGAGGGCCAATGGCCATCAACACTAGAGGGGCATTCTGTTCCCTTCAATGCTGAACTTGATAGCACGTGTTGTTTTATTTAGTCTTTTTCGCTCAGCAAAACGTCTTTTATGCTTCTCCAGGCGAGTAATGCCTTTCCGAGGACCAAACTGGATCGAGAGTCCATCCAAGGACGTTACAGAACATTAAAAAAAAAAAAAGACACCGGGGGAGCAAGAGAAAAGGCAGAACAAAAGGATAGTAGAAAACCTGACACTGTAGAAAGTTCTCATACTGTTGCTAATGCACTGTTAACATTGGACAAAGGTAAAGAAATAAATTAATAGAAAGGAAAGACTGGACAGGATTGAATTCTAGCAACGTTGTTGTTGTTGAATATCTTATATAGGTTAGCTGCTATTGGCTGATATTCCAATGTACAAAACGGGAAACATCATCCTCAACTCGCAAGTCAGGGGGTCGACATAAGTCATAGGTATTATACTCACCCTAGAGGATTCCATCTCTACATTCCACTTTGGACGGACAACATAATCCTTATTGGATGGTAGAGGAACTCTGGCACGAGCACAGAATCCAGGTTCACCAGGCCGCAGGGCTCTAAAATAAAGAGTCAAAATCAATTTTGTTTTACATTACTTTCAATAAATGTTTTAGGGGAAAAAAACGGAATAATTCCTCTATTTCCAGTATATTAATAGAATATTTTGATTTTCATGAAGACAAAGTCAATAACACATGCACTCCTACTTACTTCTCTTCTCCTGTTAACACTTTCTCCAAGTCTCTACGTGGCGTCTGACCTCCAGAACTATAAAGGAAAGAAAACTGATTAATTCACTGAAAATTAAGGCAGCAAATTAATGTTATACGTCATAAACTTAATCAACATAGAAGCCTAATAAGTACAATGACTAGTATGTTGAATGTATACATAAAAACATATGTTTGTTCTAAATACCATATGGCAATATGATCTGTCCCATGGTTAAACAATTGTTTTCTTTTTGGGGAACCAAACGAATCATAGAGGCAACCTTGAAGGTGGTGCTTAGTTTACACAGTTGCAGTATATCAATATGTTTACCTGCTCATTCTTCTGCGTTGAGGCATCTGCTCCAGATCTCTCTGTTCCCTCTCCTCTCTGGTCATGCCTTTGTAATTCGAACTTAGTCCAAAGATAGGCCGTGACCACTCATCTACAACGGAGTACACGTTCATGATTAAAATTCTGACTTCGTTAACATACTATGTAAACAGTGGCTCACAAGAAAGCTTTCAGTTTCCGGTTAAACAAAACCCAGTAATTTACCGGTAGCAATCATGCAAATGTTAATCTATAAAAACCAGCTAAAAGGAACACTCTGAACAGCTAAAACATTTTAGCTTTTTCTATAAAAAAGTGTCACTCTTAGAAATTAACCTATCTTAGATTAAGAGTTTTGTTACTTCCTGATAGCTTCGCTCAGTGGAGCTAAACTCAAGAGGTAGCCAATTGCTCAGAACACCTGCCTTGGTAAGAATGTCTGGGCTGGGGAAGAAGGAGAGGGCTTGCAAAGGCTGCAGAAAAGAAATCTGCAGTTCTTGCAAGTTTTTAGATATACTCCCAATGCAAATGCAGGTTTTCATTAATGGTATAACTACTAAATAGTGATTTTTGTATGTATTTGGGCAGTGGAGTGTCCCTTTAAGGTTCACTACAATAGAATATGGCTCAGGGATTTTTTGTAAACTTGTAGAATTGTGAAATGGTGTTGCAATATAGGTTATAAAGCATCACAACAAACCAGTGAGTTGGGCTTCCATTATATCTGTCAGCACAAGGTATTTAAAGTAAATTTAAGATTGTTTTTTTTGGTCAATGCATTACTGCTGCTAGCACGAGTGTGCAACTCTTCCATTAATAGTATAGTAAGGGACTAGTTAAAGCCAAAACAAAAAACAGTTTATAAAGCACATCACAGAAGTTATAAGCAGATCCATGTCATTCTCAAGTTAGTTTGCATCTTGTTTTAAAGGAATAATGTATGAATTAATAAATGACAGTAATAAATAGGAGATGCATGTGTGTTTGCATCTTACACTTGGTATAGCGTATATGAATTGGTAGATCAAATAACCTACCGTGAATGGAAAAACATGCAAATGCACTATAATCATATCAAACAACCAAACCAGAGTGCAGATAGCAGAAGACTTGGTGTGTACCATGGTGGTAGTGTGGCAGACAGGGTTTTCTAGTAGTTTGCAAAACAGACCCATTTTAAATCCGTGCAAAAAAATAAATATAGAGACATCTGGCTTCCCAGGTGAGATTTCATTCACTTGTCTCCTCTTCAAAGTTCAATTTCTACTTTCTCTCTATATTGTCTTACTCTTTCTTAATATCATCTACTATCAAGCAACTTCCCTAGTATCTATCATGCCAAACCTGAACACCTATATAGATGGTGTTTGAAATATTTTACAATTAATGTAGTGTATAGCGTGCTACAGTGGCTTATTACAACACTGTCATAAAACAATAACATGGCTACAATATGGTCTTGCAGCTTATCACAAAATACTTATACGCATATAAAATCATATGACAAGATATTGTAGCACCCTGTGTCCTACAGCCATGTAGATCCACAAAGGACTTGCGAGAGTTCTGTAGCTGAGGATACATTAACATTATTAAATTGCATGCTACTTACTGATCAGCTTTCCAGCAATGTCCTTGTTGGGTCTTGACTCCTTAGGGTGTTTGTAGAGATACATAACAGCTCTACCAATGCCACTGTGCTTTAGTGTTTCCTGGCTCACACTAGGCAGCTGAAAAAAGAAACAAAAAACGTTTAAGAGGCAATATAAAATATGGAGTGTGTTACAATATAAAGTATGAGGAATTGTTACAGCCAGAGGAAAAATGGATTCCCCTAAACTGGAAAAGACAATTTACTCCATGTGACCAGAGATCATCGACCTAATGGAGGATCTATAGATAAATGTTCTTACTATCTTAGGAGGAATTCTATCATTTTGATTTGTAGTTCAGAAATTAGAACTGGAAACAGATTATGCTAGGGAGACTACTGTTCCTGTCTAGCTTCATTACATTTGTACACATTCAATATTTAATAGGAGACTCTGACTGTATGAGCAAAAAGGATTTTTTTGTCTTAGAATGAAATGGGAAAAAATAAGAATTGTTTGTGTAATTTCTAACCTCCTGAAGTATCTTCAGTAGCTCTTCCCGGATTTTCAGAGCTGGTAGACTGCGATCAGGAAGAGGAGTAAGCCATTCCTTTATAGCAGACATAACACCACTATCAATGAAGGTCTCTTTCAAATCTTGCCTGTTATAAAGAAATGTAAATTAAGCTATTAAGTCAATTCTAGTAGAACCACCACTGTTTACAAGGCTCAGTGCATGTATAATGAAAATGTAACTGTCAAAATGAAGAGAATGAGCATATAGCAATTATTCTCAGATAAAAGGAGAGTTTCACTTCCTGCTTTTTGCATGACCTAAAGCAAACTAATACTAAGCCATGGGCTGTGCTCAATTTTTCTTCTTCTAATTTATATCCCAATGCAGATGCTAGGAGAGTGTAAAATAGCCTAGCCTACTCTGAGGCAAGAGATATGGGAACTCTTTGGAAAAGGTGACAGATACAAATGTAAAGGCATATACTGAGCAGGCCATATTTAAAGACGGAAACACGAGAAGTAGCTATTTTGATCTACAAATGGAGAACTAAAAATAGGGGCTGTTCACTATGTCTATGAGCATTCAATGCAACTTCATTAATGCAAGGAAGAAAAGAAAAAAAAAATATGTTTTCTATCTTCATTTTGGACAAGACAGAAAAGAAAAAAAATATTTTAAGTATAAAGTGATTAATAGAATATTTAGTTTGTGTTGCTATTCTAATCTGGGAAAAATAAATAAATAAAAGGGAAGAAAGCAGTAAACCACTCAAAGTACTTACTTTTTAAGATGCATGACCACGGTTGGAAGCAAAGTTAGTTTTTTCAGTGCCGGCTTCTTACTGGAATTGAGATTTCGGTCCTCCTAGATACAAATAAAAGAATTGATTATCCAAATGTTTTCTCCAGGATAATAAACCAGCTTCAAAATGAGAGATTTTTCTAGTGGTAAGAGGATATATAAAAGTGTAATTCTCACACTCAGAGCAAATTAACAGCTAACTGGATTCTGCCTCAACTAGCAGAAACAAATGAAACTGACATTTTGTTTTAAGGGCATTAAAGCAGCTTCAAATCATGGTAACAAAATATTTATTACAGGTTGCCCACCAGTTGAGTTCAAAATAAACAAATTTTTGATTTAGCGTAATTGTGATACTTAGACAAAGCTGTTCTTACGGTGTGTTAAATATGTTAAATGCTGGCTCCTTTTCACTTAAGTCAGCAGTCAATCATGACTGTTTGGGTTCTAGGCATATAACTGCCTGATACCCAGTAGATTTTTTTTTTTAATCCTTTATTTATTCAAAGACATGTTAAGAAATACAATACAGACATAACAGAACGAAATTGCGCACAGACAGTTGCATACGTTCAGTGACAATATACATTGACATAATGCCAGCAGAAATACGTCTGTGAGTAACTTAACAAGGGTAGACGTTGACTGCAGTCATGACTGTGTCGTATAGTGAATCTTGTATTCATACGATAACTGACAGCCCATCTTGGTTTCTTTTAGTTAAGGAGGTAGATAAAACCTTATACAACCATACTAACATTTGCTAAAATTACCCAGTAGATTTAAAAAAAACAAAAACAAAAGGTAAATCCAGCAGGATCTCCTATAGATCCCTGTTTTTTTTTTTACTCCTGCACATGCATGAAAATATAAACCGTTAAAGTGACACAATAGGCACCCAGACCACTTCATCTCATGTCAGTTTAAGCCTGCAATTGTAATTATGGCAGTTACTGATAAACTGCAATAATTACATTGCCGGGTAAACTCCACTTAAAGCAGCTGTCTACCAGCGCTTCAGGGTTGTTAAACAACTTTTGGTCGTCTGACGCTGGACGTCCTCATGCTCTGTTTGAGGACATCCAGCTTCAGCTAAAACATCATGGGGGGTGGAACGCACGACCGAGGGCTCACTATATACGGTACTTTAGTGCTAAGACTACTACTCCTAGCACTATAGTTGCCCTTTAAAGTCATGGTTATGCAGCTCTCATGTCACCTGAGAGCACCATTCAGAGCAAATATCTCCTTTTCACTGTGAACTTCTGGTATCGCTGGCCAAACACATCTGTTAGCAAGGATTCTGGTTTAAACCAGCTCCCAATTTTTTGACTGTGCACAACATTTCATTATTTTATGCAAACTCCCACTGTTAATAAAAAAAAAAAGTAATTAGGAGACTCTGCTCACCTCTGCTGCTTCATTCATTTTCACAATCATAGCATTGACTACATCATCTGCGTCACTGATGAAAGTACCTCCATCACGGTTTCTTCGCCGTTTACCACTCATAAGTTTCTTTCTCTCCATCATCATATCAAAATCTGATCTGAAATCAGCTCTGTGGTGAAAGCAGAGAATCATTAAAATTTACTACAAATGAATGCAACATTTTTTAAAAAAAACAAAAAAAAAACCTGAAAAGATCAGATAAAATGTTTATTTAAATCACCATTAACGAACTAAAATTAAACCATGATTTAAATGGAAGTCACTGAACGTTCCAAAAATCAGAATGCCCAGTCCTTATATTCAGAATGTGTAAGATTATTACCTTCTCAATCACACATTGCAATTTGTAGCTGACCCAATAGTAGAAGCTAGAGCCAGGATAAGCTCTATTTAATTAACATCAAGGTACCTTTACATAGCTCTATTGTGAAAAATAATGATACTCTGCCATATAAGAAAAAATAATATATCTGATCACTTAAAATAGTCTGACTCAATGTTAGTCCAGTTAAACTTTTTACATCATCTTATTCCAACTTACTGTTTGCCAGATCGAATGTCATCATCAGAGTCAGAATCTGCTGTGGCTGCTTGTTTGTTTGCTGCAGCTTTCTCCCCATCTAGATCCTCTTGATTAAAACCCTTCGTAGTAAAAGGTAAGACAGCATTAGTTGCTTGATACTTTAAAAGGTACATTGAGGGAACATTACACTGACCATATGCAGCTTGTGTTAGAGAACAGAACTACATCCTGCCTGTATTCGAGTCAGGTTATGGTGGGAGAGGAAATCCACCTGTACAAGTACAGGGTTTGCCACTGACATGAGAATTGATGGAAACTCAAATTTAAGGACAAAATAGCAAAACTGACACCTGAATTAACTGAGATTTTTGCCAATTCTGCTGTTTTGGTCTGGATTTTGAAATGTACTTTGAATATAAGGCAATTCTCACTTTAGTGAATAACTTGACAAGGAACTGTCACTTTGAAAGTACAAAGTCCCTTAAGAAAGGCACGTTTTTAGTTGCTGAAAGTTCTTTTTTGTTCAGCTCTGGTAGGCTCTTTGTAAGTTCAAAGGATTCTCCAGTGCCAGGGAAGGGAAGGGAAAAGAAGGGAAAGGAAGGGGAGGGAAAAGAACCTTACCGTAAATTCTTCCTCTTCTTCCTCTCCAGATTCACCGAAAATATCAGCAATCAGATTCCTGTATTAAGATTAATAAAGATAATTAAGATCCTAAGAATATGATGATCAAATCAATCTAGGCTACAAATTATGTCTTATTGACAAAATATATAGGCTTTTTAAAAGTTTTTTAATTGATATAAGTTTAGAGCAGGCTTCCCCAAACTCTGGCCCCCAGTAAAAAAATAAATTAAAATCACAAAAACAAAAAAACATAAAGAAGCAAATTTTAAGCTTATCAGTTGTCAATCAGGAACCAACATTATCGGAGAATTGCTTCTATATGGAATCTTTCACAATGAATATATATATTTTAAAGTCACTTTGTGGTATTTTTAACTTTAATACTTTACGGACATAAGAGTCCATTTTTCGTAAACACACTAACCCTTACATTCATACACATGGATCAAAATTTAAAAATGATGCTTGCGTGCATTGGTGGTGGCATGTTACATAGCTCTGCTACAGATTGAAGGCCTACTGGCCATTACTTACTCTTCTTCATTTCCTGAGTCACTGTCACTGCCAAATAACTTATTCTCTGAATCCTTAGTTTCTCCTTGTGTTTTTGATTCGTCTTCCTCCTCGCTGCCAGAAGAACCAATTTTCTTCTTCTGTGGTTTCTCAGCATCACTGTCACTGTCATCCCCGTCTGAGAGGATCCGGTTCTTTTTACTACCTGCATGTAAAAAAAAATAATTGTATTTCCACACCTAAAATGGCATACGTTCATAGATTTGCAATGAATGGGTCTTTAAAGTGGAAATCTTTTAACAATGTGAGGTTTCATAGGTACTCATATACTTTAGCATTTTGCAGCTCAATTTACCAGACACTGATGTACATTAAAATATATTGTAAGCCTGCAATACCATCCCATGAATTATGAGACACTATAAACATGTAACAGTGTTTCTCTAACTGCAGTAATGTATTACCTGGTTTACCTGCCATCTCTTCATCTTCACTGTCTGTCAAGATTGCCGCTTTCCTTTTCCCTGCTTTATCTCCTTCACTTTCAGGTCTGTCTTTTTTCGTACCCTCATTTTCACTATCATCACTACCGGAGCTGCGCTTGAAGGACTTCTTATTCTTCTTGGGGTCAGGTTTAAAATCATCCTCACTGTCGTCAGATGACACAATTTTCCTCTTCATTCTAGGAAATTCATCCTCTGAATTGTCTTCTATCTTAGTGGGCTTTTCATCCTCTGAATCAGAAGGAATACTTTTAGGAGGAGCTTTATCGTCATTAATAACCATTGGCTGAGGTACATCATCATCATCAGAATCAATAACTGCACGCTTAGCAGGAACTTTATCTTCAGTATCGCTTCCTGTGTGCTTAGGGGGAGCCTCATCGGAGTCACTTCCTGCTTTCTTTGCCGGAGCATTATCTTCAGAGTCGCTCGCTGAATGTTTGGCAGAGGTTGTTCGCTTAGACAGATGCTTTGAAGAAGCTACACGCCTCTGAGGAGCTTCATCTTCAGAGTCACTTGATGCACGTTTGGCGGCGGCAGCAGCAGTTCTCTTAGTGGTAGCTGCACGTTTATTGGCAGCTACACGCTTCAGAGGAGCTTCATCTTCAGAGTCACTTTTTGCATGCTTTGCAACTTTCTTTCGCTTATTGGCAGCTGTGCGCTTAGCAGGAGTCTCATCCTCAGAGTCACTTGCAACCCGCCTTGCAGGAGCTTCATCCTCAGAGTCGCTCGCCACCCGCTTAGCAGGAGCTTCATCTTCAGAGCCACTTTTCGCATGTTTTGCAACTTTCTTTCGTTTATTGGCAGCTGTGCGCTTCACAGGAGTCTCATCCTCAGAGTCACTTGCAACCCGCCTTGCAGGAGCTTCATTTTCAGAGTCGCTTGCTGCCCGCTTGACGGGAGCCTCATCTTCAGAGTTGCTTCCAGCCCGCTTGACGGGAGCCTCATCTTCAGAGTTGCTTCCAGCCCGCTTGACGGGAGCCTCATCTTCCGAATCGCTTGCCGCCCGCTTGGCTGGAGCCTCATCTTCACTTGCCGCCCGCTTGGCTGGAGCCTCATCTTCAGAGTCGCTTGCCGCCCGCTTGGCTGGAGCCTCATCTTCAGAGTCGCTTGCCGCCCGCTTGGCTGGAGCCTCATCTTCAGAGTCGCTTGCCGCCCGCTTGGCTGGAGCCTCATCTTCAGAGTCGCTTGCCACCCGCTTGGCTGGAGCCTCATCTTCAGAGTCGCTACCTGCCCGCTTGGCTGGGGCCTCATCTTCAGAGTCGCTACCTGCCCGCTTGGCTGGGGCTTCATCTTCAGAGTCGCTACCTGCCCGCTTGGCTGGGGCCTCATCTTCAGAGTCGCTACCTGCCCGCTTGGCTGGGGCCTCATCTTCAGAGTCGCTTGCTGCGCGCTTGGCAGGAGCCTCATCTTCAGAGTCGCTTGTTGCGCGCTTGGCAGGAGCCTCATCTTCAGAGTCGCTTTCCGCCCGCCTGGCAGGAGCCTCATCTTCAGAGTCGCTTGCTGCCCGCTTGGCAGGAGCCTCATCTTCAGAGTCGCTTGCCGCCCGCTTGGCAGGAGCCTCATCTTCAGAGTCAATTGCCACCCGCTTGGCAGGTGCTTCATCTTCAGAGTCGCTGCCTGCCCGCTTGGCTGGAATTTCATCTTCAGAGCCACTTGTTGCCCTCTTGGCAGGAGCCTCATCTTCAGAGTCACTTTCACGATTTTTAGCAGGTGCTTCATCATCAGAGTTATTACCCTGATGTTTGCTTGGTGCATCATCCTCAGATTCACTGCCTGAATGTCTAGAGTGAACCTCATCGTCAGAATCACTGCCAGGACCTTTCATGGGATGATCATTATCAGAATCACTGCCCTTCTGTTGATGTGCCTCATCATCTGAATCACTACCAATATCATTACGCCGTCCATCATTTTCAGAATCACTGGCATTGCGATTAAAGCTGTCATTTTCCAAGTCACTGGAGTTGCGACCTCTATGCTGTTCATCGTCTGACTCATTGCCTTCGGCAGCTTCATCATTCTCAGATGCACTGGCACCCCCTCTCCTGTCCTCCTCTGCATCGCTATGTTCATTCTGGAAAATAATATATTACATATAATGCACATGGATCAGTGAATGAAGGGAATTTGATTAATTTAAGCATTGTGTTCACTATACATATAATGTTAATGACCGCTAACATGCCAGAGTACTTGTAAAAGTCTTATCACGTTTTCTAGTATTTCTTTGTACTACAACCAACATGTCCACTTGTGAATCAAAGCATACAGCTTAAGTCTTGGGTTTAGTATGATTTACACTGTTATCATAGGCAAACATATAAACAAAGTGAAACTGTCACATTTGATATTATCTTAAAAACATCCATTGTTTTTATTTTGACACTTCAAAGGCTACTCCTGCAATACTGGGGCATTTATATATAGAAGTCCAAAAGCACCTGAGGTCTCCCAGGCTGTAAAGTGCCTACAACACAGACGTGATATTTCCCTTACCCATCTTTCCTCCCCCCAGCAAATGTGCTGCAATAATGTTTTTTTCTCTCTGGAGTAAGAGATCCACTTTAACATAGCTTAAATTAAATACAAACTATAAAAACAACATTGGCCTTCTCAACAAAAAATGTTTAACAGACCGTGTCAGTGTTAGATAGACTAAATGTATACAATTACCTCGTACTGGTGCCCTGAACTTCCAACTTCATTCGCTTCGTCCTCAGAGGCAGAGTCACGCTCATCCTGTACTGGGGTGGCTCCTCCATCATCTACAACAGGAAAATTAACAATAAGTCACATTTAGTGATTAGGAGCCCATGCGATTGATTTGTTAACATCATACATTTGCGCCCTTTTAATTGCAGAAGCTACTGCTAACATTATTAACTGGTCTAAGAAGGTTTGGAATGTATCAAAACCCATCTGATATATTACAAATATTTACAAAGTACCAGCCTGATCCCCAATTTATAATGCTTTAAAGGATACTCTAGGCACAATAACAACTGCAGCAGTCTGTGGTGGTTGTGGTGCCACGAGTGCATGGTAAATCTTTCAAACCATTTTAGTAAGGTTTGACATGGTTTGTCAGCAGGGAGAAGCCAATTTAACTGCATTGAATGCACTCAATACTTCAAACATTCAAGCATGTGAGTGGGAAACCATCAAAAGCAGTCTTATAGCCAGGAGAGATTAATTAATAGCATTTAAAAAAGAGCCAATTTCTCTAACGATCAGTAATTTTAGAAACAAACAAGAAAAGGAGAGGGATATGTGAACGGAAGATACACAATAATCACTCTTTAAGGAATAACTGAAATTAAGAGGAACCTCAATGTATTCTTCTTGATGATGCAGATTCATAAGTGAACATATAATTCTGCACCCAAAATGACTGAGAAGGTCTGATTAGTACTGACTGGGTTAACATACAAACGGACATTACAAATTTCCATTAAAATGAGTTTGCTTTTCTGCTACCTAATATCAATGAAATATGCACACAATGGCAAGAAAAGACCAAAGAATACAGCCTACAGCACAATGCAGTGGTTGTGTTGCCTAGATCAGTTCATTTACAAATGGTTTGATGTAACTGGGCTCTCTCGGTACCCAGGGCTGGCCCTATCTCAGCCACATTGCTAATGCAGAATTGTACAAACATTAAAAAGTATACTATTTGTTATAACACAAACGCAATATCATAATAAAATGATGAAACAAAAAAAAAATTTTTTTTTTTTAAATAAATGAAAAAATAACTCCCCAGGGTGTAGCACAGTCTAACTTGACCTAATGCAGATTAAAGAAAAGCATAAACATAAATATACAGTTTTACATTTTATAAGGTTACTTAAATTACCTGTCGCAGCAAACATATATGGTAGCAGAGTCTAACCTGACCTAACCCTGACAGAGTATCCCTAACAGGGTGTAACACTGAAGTGAGAGTAGTATGGGAATTGAAGCGAGTTCAAGGTAAATTTCAAATGTAATGCCAAAATAGACAATCTGGAAAGATTTAGGTAAGCTAGGTTTCCAATTTAGTTTACTTGGCCTAGATTTGAAACTCACTTTGAATTCCCAACAATTCTCACTTGAGTGAAAAACCCTGTGCGAGTTTGATTCATAATATGAGAAAAACTGGCTATTTGCTCAGTTACCAAATATCAATTATATATACCCACAATTGCAAAAAAAGAAGGGTGAATACAATCTCTATAGCACAATGCTGTGGCTGTGTTGCCTATAGAGTCCTGGAGTCATCCTCCGATTTAATATCAAATAATTTAAAAATGGTTTGATGTTACCTGGCGCACTCTTTGCCCAGAGAACATTCAAAAAGTATACCATTTGTTATATCATAAAAATACACACATCAAATACAACAAAATAATTAAACAAAGGCATGATTTCTGTCATGCGGCAGCACACTCTCTAACTTTACCAAACCCTGACTAACCCCACCAAAATAATACATGATAAGTGAGAGTAGTACGGAAATTTCCATGAATTCAAAGTAAATGTCAAATTTAATGCCAAAATAGAGAACCTAGAAAAATTCAGGTCCAGTTTGGCTTACTTGGAATTAAATTTGAAATTCACTTTGTATTTCGGACAGTTCTCAAGTCAGTTATACAACTCAGCGTGAAATGGATTCATAACATGAGAAAAACAGCTAGGTTATGCTAGCTTTAAATTATAAAACCCACTTTCAAGGTAGTGAATAGCCCTACCGTCCCTTCCGTGTCAGGTCCTCCTGCTCTCCAGACAGGGTTATTCACTAAAGTAAGAACTGATGGGAATTCACAGGGAATTTCAAAACTAATGCCAAAACAGACCATCTAGAAAAAAAATAATCAGGTCAGATCTGCTTCCAGTTTGATTAAATATTTTAAATTCACCTTTCATTCCAGACAATTCTCAGTTCAGTGAATAAACTGGTCTCTGTGAGTGGGAATCAAAATATCGAGGAAAACCGCTGTTCTGGCTTTAATTACAAAACTCACTTCCAATTCCCAGCGCAGTGAATAGCCCTGTCCCATTCCCAGCGCAGTGAATAGCCCTGTCCCATTCCCAGCGCAGTGAATAGCCCTGTTCTATCCCTGTCCCATTCCCAGTATCCCTGCCGTCCCTCCCGTGTCAGGTCCCCCTGCTCTCTAGACAGGGTTATTCACCAAAGTGAGAACTGATGGGAATTCACAGGGAATTTCACAACTAATACCAAAATAGGCCACCGAGAAAAAAATAATCAGGTCAGATCTGCTTCAAGTTTGATTAAATATTTTTAATTCAAATTTCATTCCAGACAATTCTCAAGTCAGTGAATAAACCGGTCTGTGTGAGTGGGAATCAAAATATCGAGGAAAACCACTTATTCTGGATTTATATTACAAAACTCACTTCCAATAACTAGCGCAGTGAATAGCCCCGTCCCGTTCCCAGTAACCCAACGCAGTCAATAGCCCCGTCCCGTTCCCAGTAACCCAACGCAGTCAATAGCCCCGTCCCGTTCCCAGTAACCCAACGCAGTCAATAGCCCCGTCCCGTTCCCAGTAACCCAACGCAGTCAATAGCCCCGTCCCGCTCCCAGTAACCCAACGCAGTCAATAGCCCCCGCCCCGCTCCTGTAACTCCAACGCAGTCAATAGCCCTGCCCCGCTCTGGTAACCCAACGCAGTCCAGCCCCACCCCGCTCCCAGTAACCCAACGCAGTTAATCTCCCAGTAACTCCAACGCAGCCACACAGCCCCGCCCCAACCCAACGCGCAGTCAATAGCCCCGCCCCATCTCCCCGAGCAGCAATAGCCCGCCCCATTCCTCGAGCAGTGAATAGCCCCGCCCCATTCTCGAGCAGTGAATAGCCCCGCCCCATTTCGAGCAGTGAATAGCCCCGCCCCATTCCCGAGTAGTGAATAGCCCCGCCCCATTCCCCGAGCAGTGAATAGCCCCGCCCCATTCCTCGAGCAGCCCCATCTGAATAGCCCCGCCCCATTCCCTCTCGAGCAGTGAATAGCCCCGTCCCATTCCCGAGCAGTGAATAGCCCCGTCCCATTCCCGGAGCAGTGAATAGCCCCGTCCCATTCCCGGAGCAGTGAATAGCCCCGTCCCATTCCCGGAGCAGTGAATAGCCCCGTCCCATTCCCGGAGCAGTGAATAGCCCCGTCCCATTCCCGGAGCAGTGAATAGCCCAGTCCCATTCCCAGTAACCCAGCGCAGTGAATAGCCCCGTCCCATTCCCAGCGCAGTGAATAGCCCTGTCCCATTCCCAGTATCCCAGCACAGTGAATAGCCCTGTCCCATTCCCGGAGCAGTGAATAGCTCTGTCCCATTCCCAGCGTAGTGAATAGCCCTGTCCCATTCCCGGAGCAGTGAATAGCCCAGTCCCATTCCCAGTAACCCAGCGCAGTGAATAGCCCTGTCCCATTCCCAGTATCCCAGCACAGTGAATAGCCCTGTCCCATTCCCAGTATCCCAGCACAGTGAATAGCCCTGTCCCATTCCCGGAGCAGTGAATAGCCCTGTCCCATTCCCAGCGTAGTGAATAGCCCTGTCCCATTCCCAGTAACCCAGCGCAGTGAATAGCCCTGTCCCATTCCCAGTAACCCAGCGCAGTGAATAGCCCTGTCCCATTCCCAGTAACCCAGCGCAGTGAATAGCCCTGTCCCATTCCCAGTAACCCAGCACAGTGAATAGTCCTGTCCCATTCCCAGTAACCCAGCGCAGTGAATAGCCTTGTCCCATTCCCAGTATCCCAGCATAGTGAATAGCCCTGTCCTATTCCCAGTAACCCAGCGCAGTGACTAGCCCAGTCCCATTCCCAGTAACCCAGCGCAGTGAATAGCCCTGTCCCATTCCCAGTAACCCAGCGCAGTGAATAGCCCTGTCCCATTCCCAGTAACCCAGGGCAGTGAATAGCCCTGTCCCATTCCCAGTATCCCAGCGTAGTGAATAGCCCTGTCCCATTCCCAGTAACCCAGCGTAGTGAATAGCCCTGTCCCATTCCCAGTATCCCAGCGTAGTGAATAGCCCTGTCCCATTCCCAGTATCCCAGCGTAGTGAATAGCCCTGTCCCATTCCCAGTATCCCAGCGTAGTGAATAGCCCTGTCCCATTCCCAGTAACCCAGCGTAGTGAATAGCCCTGTCCCATTCGCAGTATCCCTGCCGTCCCTCCCGTGTCAGGTCCTCCTGCTCTCCAGACAGGGTTATTCCCCAAAGTGAGAACTGATGGGAACTGAGAGGGAATTTCAAAATTAAGGTCAAAGTAGCCGAACTAGAAGATTTCTCCCAGCCAGCTATGCTTCCAGTTCGGCTACTTTAGCCTTAAATGTGAAATGCTTGAATTCTCACTTTAGTGAATAGCCCTGTATGAGAGAAGGTAATCGAACCCACACAGACAGACCGGTTAATAATATTTATTATTACAATAATGATGGACCCTGTGTGTACAGACAGACCAGTTAATAATAATTTATTATTATTGTTATTATTATTATTAATAGTTATAATAATGATGGACCCTGTGTGTACAGACAGACCGGTTAATAATAATTATTAATAATAGTGATGATGATGATGATGATGATGGACCCTGTGTGTACAGACAGACCGGTTAATAATATTTATTATTATTATTAATAGTTATAATGATGATGATGGAGCCGGTGTGTGCACACGGAAGGCTGGCTCGGATATCTCGTTTCGGGCGGTATTTCGCCCAGGAAGTACCGTGTGCTTGGCTCCGTGTGTCTACCGAACAGACCGGCTTGTTTCCGTGTCCGCTGTCCGGCCCGGGGGCCGCACTGGGCTAGGCCTGCTTACCTGAGTGCTCGGGGCTGTAGTAATCCGTCTCCATGGCCCCGGCTGTCAGAGTGTCGGCTCGCTCTCCCGCTAGGCTGCAAGTCCCACACTGAGGAGGGCTAGTGTTACCAGCTGCAGCTCATCACACAACTAACTGTACGGCCGAGTGGGGGAACCGCTAGGCCTCAACCAGGTCGGGCCGCACTGCGCCTGCGCAGCCTGGCCGGTAACCTGAGAGGGGGGGGGGGCTCAGGGGGCGGGGCATGACTTTAGAGGGCGCGCGCCGATACCGTCCGTTGTACTGCGCGTGCGCGAGCGCCGACTGTTTGTCTCCTGACAGAGTCATTGAGTTCAATGTGAATGTCAGACAGTGTCCAGAGCAAAGTAGCGCAAACTGGGGGGGAAATAAAAATAATTATAATAATAAACTTTAAAGGACCACTATAGGCACCCAGACCACTTCAGCTTAAAGGACCACTATAGGCACCCAGACCACTTTCAGCTTAATGAGGTGGTCTGGGTACCAGGTCTATCTAGGTTTAACCCTTTCTGCTGTAAACATAGCAGTTTCAGAGAACCTGCTATGTTTATGTTAGGGTTAATCCAGCCTCTAGTGGCTGTCTCATTGACAGCCGCTAGAGGGCTTCCGCGTTTCTCACTGTGATTTTCACCAGCGTCCATAGGAAAGCATTAAGAATAAGTACATTTAACCCCTTCCTCCCCCAACAGCCAGGCGGGAGGGGGTCCCTGAGGGTAGGGGCACCCTCACGGCACTATAGTGCCAGGAAAACGAGTATGTTTTCCTGGCGCTATAGTGGTCCTTTAACAGCAGTTATGTTTTCAGTTTTGCTATTTTATCCTTAAAATTTGAGTTTACGACAATTTCACATTTTTAATGGGTTACCTTGTTCAATAAGTTGACACTTGTGGGGAATTCAAAGTGAATTTATAATTTAATTATAAGGGTTACTCCAACCACCATAGACCATTTCTGTGATTTGAAGTGGTTATGGTAGTTGGCGTATGTATGTGCAGTGTTCCTGCTTGAAACGTTGCATACTCAAAAGATATTTAGAATTTTGTGCCAGTGGCTAGTTGCACCCACAGCACTCGTGACCTTGGCAATCAAAAACTCTGGGCTGCTTAATGTCAATTCTGTGCATATTTAACGTCAGCACATTCACCACACTGCCGACAAAAAAATCTTCACTTTGCAGGCAGAGCACTTGCAAGGGGAAGCTACCTCTCCCTCCAGTGCCAGTAGTTTTTTGTTTTTTTTAAATAAACCCAACGCCTCCCACCTGCCTGGAGCGTGGCCTTGCGCTCCGAGACGGCAATTGTTCCAAATACAGGCTTCTCCATGACAAGCCCATCTCCTTAGTGAAACCATAGCTCAAAACCCAAAAAGTGAACTGTTGTCTTTGGAGATTTTAACCCCTTAAGGACTGGACTGTTTTTGCGATGTTGTACATTTGGTGGTATGCCATCATGGGGGTAATTCTCATTCCTGGGCTACCATACGCTCTCAAAGGCAACGTACCCAACCTGGCCATTTTCACTGTAAAAATATTTGACCCATATATTTGACACGGTAACTTTCAAAAACACTATAAAATCTGTACATGGGGGGAGACTTTGCTGAACACAAATATTAGTGTTTCAAAACAGGAAAACGTATCACAACAATTATATCATCAGTAAAAGTGCTGTTTGTGTGTGAAAAATGCAAAAAAAAGTCACTTTCACTGACAATATCATCACTGTGATATGTTTTACTGTTTTGAATCACTAATATTTGTGTTCAGCAAAGTCTCCCGAGTAAAACAGTAACCCCCCATGCAGGGCCGGACTGGGAGCTAAAATCAGCCCTGGAAAAAATTCTATACCAGCCCAATAATGTGTCGCGCCAGCATAGTGTGCTGATATAGAGGGTGAAAAAATAACTTGAAATTGAAAACTCTTACTCCAACGAAGGAATGCATATAGGGCTTCAAAATAAACAAAAGAGCGCCTTTATTTTAAGTAGACGTACATTTGCATGTAATGTTTCAGTACAACTACTTTGGCCTATTAAGGACATTTTAGTAATGGTACTGAAATGCTGAATGTCTGCAGTTGCACAACTAAAAAAATGAAGTGATCTTGTTTATTTTGAAGTTCTATGGGTGCGCTCTTCACTTTGAATATGTTATTGTGCATGAGTATGCAACTAGGAACAAGACTGGGCCAATACGTGCTCATTACATATATATAGATGAAAATTTATCCATACTTACCGTAATTTTCCTTTCCTGGTCATAGGCCATGGCAGCACAACAATGGGTTAGCTCCTCCCTATCCCTAATTAGACAGGAACAGAATTAAAATCAGGGGTATAAATACCCCCTCCCACCAATGGTCCCTTAGTCTTGTTAACAGCAATATCCCAGGGCGGGATCTAAGTGCTGCCATGGCCTATGACCAGGAAAGGAAAATTACGGTAAGTATGGATAAATTTTCATCTTTCCTGGCCATATCCATGGCAGCACAACAATGGGTAATACCCAAGCAATAACCAAGGGAGGGAATAAAGAAACACAGACTCAAGAACCTTTTTAAATGCTGGTGTATTAGAAATCACACGTGCAATAGAAATCAATCAAGAAGAGTTGACTGCGGATAAGACTGATTTGCCAAAAGAGTCCGATTGGCTGGCTTTAACGTCAATCTGGTAATGCTTAATAAACGTGTTTGGAGAAGACCAAGTGGCTGCTTTGCAAATCAGCTCGGGTGACAAATTAGCAGCTGCTGCCCAGGATGAGGAAAGGGACCTTGTGGAGTGAGCCTTGAGCCCCTCCGGAACCTTCGTCTTTGAGGCTTGGTAAGCCTGAACGATGGCGGCAACAATCCATCTACTGATGGCCATCTTAGAAGCCTGAAGGCCTCTTCTGGGGCCGTTGGGGATAACGAATAGCCTTTGAGAGATCCGCCAGGCTGAAGATCTTTGTAGATAGACAGACAGACATCGAACAAGATCCAATGGAGAAGGCAGAGATTCCTCATTCTCAGTAGAAGACTCCGAATGAAGAGCCGGGAGTATTATATCTTCGTTGATGTGAAAAGCTGACACCACTTTAGGACGAAATTCGGGAACCGTTCGTAAAACAACTCTGTCCTTATGAAAAACTGTAAAGGGCTCTTTCGTAGATAAGGCATGGAGTTCAGACACTCGTCTACCTGAGGCTAAGGCCACCAATAGAACCGTCTTAATGGTGAGTACCTGAGGAGAGATGGATTCAAGAAGTTCAAAAGGAGAATTGCTCAGGGCCTTTAATACCAAGGGAAGATCCCATGGTGGAGCGAAGGGCTTGATAGGAGGCTTGATTTTCAAAACTGCTGCCATAAATCTGATCACATCTGAGTTTAAGGCCCATCTCTGGTCCGTAAGGGCCGAAAGAGCTGAAATATGTACCTTCAGGGTATTGTAGCTTAGACCCTTATCAAGACCGGATTGTAGAAATTCAAGGATCTCCTTGGTGGAGATAGACTGAATATTCCTGTGGTTGGATGCAGCCCAGGAGGAAAATGTCCCAGATTCTGTAGTAAGTGGAAGATGTAGAGCGTTTCCTTGCTTGCAGTAGAGTTTCAATGACAGAATGGGAAAATCCCTTGCAGTTCAACCTTTCCCTTTCAATTTCCATGCCATCAGCTTGAGGGAGGCAGGGTCTGGATGGAGGACAGGACCCTGATGTAGAAGGGACGGAATATTTGGAAGCTGCCAGGGGTCTGCGCTGCAGAGGCTCAACAACAGAGGAAACCACGGCCTGCGAGGCCAAAAGGGGGCTATGAGGATGATGGATACCTTCTCCTGCCTCAATCGTCTCAGAAGAGGAAAGATGAGGGGCGTAGGAGGAAATGCGTAGCCTAGGTGAAATTCCCAATCGATTGAAAGAGCATCCCTTCCTGATGCTTGGGGATCGATGCTTTTTGAAAAGAAGTGCTGCACCTTCCTGTTCTTGTGCCATAAGGTCGACTTGTGGCATGCCCCATACTTGAGAAATGTCTTCGAACACCTTGTTTGACAGACTTCATTCTCCTGGATCTAATTCCACTCTGCTCAGGTAATCCGCTATGGAATTCTGGACTCCCGGAAGATGGATCGCTGATAGGCCCGCAAGATGCTTCTGGGAGAAGGACATTAGGGGCTTCATGATGGACATCATTTTCCGACTCCTTGTTCCCCCTTGATGGTTTATGTAGGCAACTACAGTGGAATTGTCTGATCTGATCTTGATCCACTTGAAGCGTATGAGGGGAAGGAAATTCTCTAGAGCCTTTAGAACTGCCAGAAGCTCTAATTGGTTGGAGGGAGTCTCTGTTACTGGAAAGGACCATTTCCCTTGGATAAACTGATCTTGCAGGTGGGCACCCCATCCCCACTGGCTTGCGTCCGTGGTAATAACTGTCCATGTGATGTTCCCCAATGGAAACCCTCTGAACAGGGATTTCTTCTGTAACCACCAAATCAGAGATTGATGGACCTGAGGTGGAATCTTGATAGGCTGAAGAGGACTTTTCGATCTGAATTGAAGGATGAAGTTTTTCTGGAAAATCCTCATCCTCCATTGGGCCCATTTTGTCAGCCCGATGGTGGAGGACATTGATCCCAATAGGCTCATGCATCTTTCTGCTGAGGTCACATTGGATGCCAACATGTCTTTGACTTTGTACATCAACTTCGTACCTCTTTCTGGAGACAGTTGCACTGTGCCTGCTAGAGTGTTGAATATGGCCCCCAAATATTTCATCTCCTGAACCGGCTGTAATTGGCTCTTGTTCTCGTTTATCTTCCAACCATGACGGCGTAGAAAACGTAGACAAACCTGTCCATGGGTCTGAAGGGTATCTGTGTCTTCTGCCAAGATGAGGATGTCGGCTAAGTAATGGTAAATGGCTATGCCCTTTTTCCTGAGCTCCGCAATCAAAACAACCAAGACCTTGGAGAATGTTCTTGGAGCTGTGCTGAGACCAAACGGCAGGGCTCGGAATTGAAAATGCCCTTGTTCCAACGCAAACCGAAGGAATTTCTGATGTTCTGGAGCGATGGGGATGTGGAAATAAGCGTCTGCCAAGTCTATAGAAATCATCCATTGGAGTGGAAAGACGACCTTTATGATGGATTGAATAGATTCCATCTTGAACTTTCGGATGAGGAGATGCCGATTCAGCCTGCTTAAGTCTAAGATAGGTCTC